CTGGAGTGCAGTTTGAAGCAACTGATTGCCTTTGCCTTGCAGATTTGTATTTGTGTGCTATCAGCACAGTCTAATCTTCTCACACCAGGAAATGATTGGTGCGCAAAAGCTTTCCCACTGGGCAAAAACTGGTTGAATCAACATTGTTTCCACGTCATTTAAACAAAATTAATTCAATGTGATGACGTTGAATCAACTTGGAAAACTGATTGGATTTGCGAAAAGTCATCAACATAAGGGAATTTCTTATTTTTTTCACCCAACTTTTTACCTAAATCCAATGACATGGTAATTTTTTTGTTGTTGATTTCACGTTAGTTAACAACTTAACCAAATGTAAATCCAAACTAAACGTTTAATTGACATCTGTGCCTAGTGGATTTGCATTAATGGGGACATATGTTTAATTGCATATATCAACTATCCCTTTGTCAGAGATTTGATTCCTGAGCCCAATTTTTCAAAAGTTATCTGAATTTTGGCTATTGGATAGGATTAAATGTATAGAAATAGAATGAATAGAATGGACAAATAATTTACTTGAATGGGTCTCATGTTCTATTCATTCTATTTCTATGCATTTAATCCTATCCGATAGGCGTTAATCCAGATAGATACCTTTTGAATTACTGGGCTCTGGTGATACTTTGCTGCCAATGCCTTTGCCATGTGATTGTGAATGAGTAAGTGTGATCACACTGGCTCCAACAACCTCATTGGCTCTTATTGACTTGCGAACACTCCAAACTCAAAATATATAGAGTGCTACTTCCTGCTTGCCTTCTTGATGAGAGGAAAGCAGCTTTATTTTATTTTTTAAATATCTTTTATAGCCAAGTACACTTGTGTTGTTATTATTCACAGAATATCTGCATCATTCATGAGGATGGATCATTCTAACCCACACTGATTTCAGTGAAATCTGTGAGGATATGTTGTGGCTTAGACATTGTCTGAAATGGCACCCTATTTCCTTATGTACTGCTCAACTTCAAAAGTTGTGCACTACGTAGGGAATAGAGTGCCATTGCAGATGCACCAATTGCCACCCCTCAGTAAGCAAAACTGGTTAAAAATACGTATTTTCAACATAAAAACTGGTTTGAAATACATATTTTCAACGTCAAAACTGGTTGAAAAGACGTCTTTCTAACCAGTTTTGCTCATTGTCCCAGGGTTGTCCTCTCCTCTGTAGACTGCTTACCTGCTTCATCTGTGTGTTCATTAGACACCGGAGCACAGTCAATCATTTGGTATCCATCTTTCAGGGTCCAGTCACCTGGCCACGTCCTTTGTGACTACAAAGGACGTGGCCAGCCGAGAGAAGTGCACATGATGAGCAATGGACGTTTGGTAATCCAACCACATCAGCAGTCAGGACCAGTGGAGCCAAGTAACCTTTTCCTCAACCTCAATTTTCTCGGCTGAACTCAACTGGCAGCCGTACTGATTTAAATAACCTCTATGTTTCTCTGATGTTGTGTTGTTGTGAATTCTTATACGCATGGTCATGGTCAAGGTCAAGGTATCAGTCTTGACTAACAGTTGTGAGGATGTTTTGTAGAAAGACAGGGCTCCCGTCAGTGTTTCCCCTAGATTCTACTTTTACCTCACAACCAGAATTGTCCTATCAAGTGAGTGTACCTATTACTGTCAATGCACAAGCATCAAAATAAATATTAATTGTGATATATAATTTGGACTATTCACAACAGCAAACATATACACTGAGTGTACAAAACAGGAACACCCTCCTAATATTGAGTTGCAACCCCTTTTGCCCTCAGAACAGCCTCAATTCGTCGAGGCATGGACTCTACGAGGTGTCAAAAGCATTCCACAGTGATGCTGGCCCATGTTGACTCCAATGCTTACCACAGTTGTGTCAAGTTGGCTGGATGTTCTTTGGGTGGTGGACCATTCTTGATACACACGGGAAACTGTTGAGCATGAAAAACCCAGCAGTGTTGCAGTTCTTGACACACTCACCTACTACTACCATACCCCATTCAAAGGCACTCACATATTTTGTCTTGCCCATTCACCCTCTGTATGGCAAACATACACAATCCATGTTTCAATTGTCTCAAGGCTTAAAAATCCTTCTTTAACCTGTCTCCTCCCCTTCATCTACACTGATTGAAGTGGATTTAACAAGTGACATCAATAAGGGATCATAGCTTTCACCTAGATTCACCTGGTCAGTATATGTCATGGAAAGAGCAGGTGGTCCTAATGTGTTGTACATTAGGAAATATAATGATATGAATGAGGGGCTATTAAAACCTAGATTCTCTATATTCAAATCCATTCAGAGGTACTCCATGGCCATGTGCATAGCACCATCTAGTGGTCACAGAGAGTTCTAGCCTTGGAGCAGGCTCAATAAAAAGGGAGCATTAGAATATCACAATGTTTCTGAGCAACATTTCCCTTCACTTTTATTCCTTGACGTAATTTCAATGTCAGTTACATTTATTTAGTCATATGGGTGCCGCTAATATACAAATCATCCACGCTTCCCATCAAGAGTTCCTAAAAAGTAATTTCATAATTATGTTTCTAAGGCTGAGCCCGCATACTTACTATTCACTTCTGTTTGGTAGAATGGCAGGGTCAAGTGTCTTTTACAATCTCTGATTGCTTTCTAGCCTCCTTCAGAATGATAATGACTGATCATAGAACAGTGATCCTAATGAGCAAATATTGTCATAGAACTTCAATTTGCAGACCAATTAAAAAGAAGGGGGCAATTATCTATCTGAATTCATTTGTTTAATGGATTTGCAGAAGGTTAGGTAGAATTGAAAAATATTTATGTACATAATTACACATTTACACTTTTACAAATATACACTACCAGTCAAAAGTTTGGACACACCTACTCATTCAAGGGTTTGTCTTTATTTTTACTATTACTTACATTGTAGAATAATAGTGAAGACATCAGAACTATGAAATAACACATATGGAATCATGTAGTTACCAAAAAAGTATTAAACAAATCAAAATATATTTTATATTTGAGATTCTTCAAATAGCCACCCTTTGCCTTGATGACAGCTTTGCACGCTCTTTCCATTCTATCAACCAGCTTCATGAGGTAGTCACCTGGAATGCATTTCAAATAACAGGTGTGCCTTCTTAAAAGTTAATTTGTGGAATGTCTTTCTTCCTTTTCTTAATGCGTTTGAACCAATCAGTTTGAACCAATCAGTGTTGTGACAAGGTAGGGGGGGGGGGGGTATACAGAAGATAGCCCTATTTGGTAAAAGACCAAGTCAATATTATGGCAAGAACAGCTCAAATAAGCAAAGAAAAACGACAGTCCATCATTACTTTAAGCCATGAAGGTCAGTCAATACGGAAAATGTCAAGAACTTTTTCCGTATTTTTAAGTTTCTTCAAGTGCAGTCGCAAAAACCATCAAGCGCTATGATGAAACTGGCTCTCATGAGGACCGCCACAGGAATGGAAGACCCAGAGTTACCTCTGTTGCAGAGGATAAGTTCCTTAGAGTTATCAGCCTCAGAAGTTGCAGCCCAAATAAATGCTTCACAGAGTTCAAGTCACAGACACATCTCAACATCAACTGTTCAGAAGGGACTGTGTGAATCAGGCCTTCATGGTAGAATTGCTGCAAATAACCACTACTAAAGGACACCAATAATAAGAAGAGACCTGCTTGGGCCAAGAAACATGAGCAATGGACATTAGACCGGTGGAAATGTGTCCTTTGGTCTGGAGTCCAAATTGGAGATTTTTGGTTCCAACCGCCGAGTCTTTGTGAGACGCGGTATGGGTGAGCGGATGATCTCAGCATGTGTAGTTCCCACCGTAAAGCATGGAGGAGGAGGTGTTATGGTGTGGGGGTGCTTCGCTGTGACACTGTTTGTAATTTCCTTAGACAGACAGTGGCAGTCGCAGGTTTAGAACTACTGAATATATTTAAGCACCATAGATCAAAGTGGGACGAAACCCAAACGCTGTTGTGCTCAAAATATATGTTTATAAACAAAAAGGCAAAGGGCGAACCCAAAGTGCAAAATGTAAAGTACTCAGGAAATAGTAGGCGAGATACCTCTCAGGAAAACAAGTAAAATTTACAATGACCGACAAAGACAAATGGCAGAGGGAGTATATATACAGTTATAGAGTGGGGATTGGAATCAGGTGTGTGTAATGATGACAAGACAAGTCCGGGATTGATGAGTGAAGGGCGCTTGCCAACAGTAAGTTCGGCAGCAGCTAGAAGGCCGGCGATGCCGAACGCCTGAGCTGGACAGGAGGGGGAGCCAAAGTGAAGGCTGGTGTGACACGGACGGCAGAGTGAAGGAAAAGCAGCCAACAAGTGCTCAGCATATGTGGGAAGTCCTTCAAGACTGTTAGAAAAGCATTCCAGGTGAAGCTGGTTGAGAGAATGCCAAGAGTGTGCAAAGCTGTCATCAAGGCAAAGGGTGGCTATTTGAATAATCTCAAATATAACATATATTTTGATTTGTTTAACACTGTTTTGGTTACTACATGATTCCATATGTGTTATTTCATAGTTTTGATGTCTTCACTATTACTCTACAATGTAAAAAATAGTAAAAATAAAGAAAAACCCTTGAATGAGTACGTGTGTCCAAACCTTTGACTGGTACTGTATATATACACATTTAGATTTCCAAAGGGTCTCTTTCTACCTCAGTAAGCAATGACCATCACCATCTCATTCATGGTGAAGTATGAAGATCTGAAGACAACATCATAGGATGGAAATTGTTTAACAATAAATTATCACACTCATTCGAAGTCACTCCAGGTTGCCAGAGAATCTGCCTATGCTTTCTGTGCAACAGCTGTGGTTTGATTAACCATGCTTGTGTGATCAGCTTCACTTAAGCGGGCTAACAGTCTTGTGGCACACAGGAGAGGGTTCAATGCCCAGTCTGTAACTTCTGCATGTTCTGTTGTGACTGTTGTGTTCAGTGTCTGTGTGAATGGACTTATTACATATTTTGTTGTTTAGAGCTGAGGTAACCTAAGATGGAGTTTCCTGTCCATAGGCTGGCTCCCACCAGGCCAAACCAGACCTGGGCAGGGGCCCAAGCAGAGGTGGTCAGCTGAGAGTGGACCAGGAACACAAGCAGCACCAAGCTGCCCTGAGAAACCAAGAGAAACACTGATCAATGCAGTCACCTTTCACATAAATCAGTCAGTGACATCAATGGCAGACTTGTGTGATAATTCCAGTTAAGCGTGTGGGTCTCAAGTCAGAATAGGGAGACGGCAATGACGGACAGGAGCCTGGCCTGTAGGCCTTCATCGTGTGGAACTGCCACCTAGTCACAGCCTTGCCTGACATGAACTTATGAACTTCTTGTGTAGGTGGGGAGGGGAGTGTATGATGGGGTGTTATTCTCAATTGATTCTATGTATTTACGTATTTATATGGAAGTAGCAGAACACTCTATTGTCAAAGTAAAAAAAAGAGAAAGAGATTGCTGAAATATCACATACCACTGCTCGGCTTATGAACACTGACGCCTTTTCCTTGTGTTGGAAATTCTGTGTTGTAAAAGAGACAAAACTGTCGCCCACCATCATGGCTCCAAAGGCTCTAGTGAGGTGAAGATGGAGGATGTCCTCAGAACCTGTAACAGGCTGAAAGAGTGAAGCAAACGTTTATTCAAGAAACATACTTCACCTCTTGTAACAACACATTCTCAACCTGGAAGCCTATAGGCTGCTGACTTTCTTTGTCGTCCCGCATCTCCGCAATGTGAAACCTAGCTTCATAATATTTTTATGGTACTAAGAGCCTACCTGGAATCCTAGGAGCCAATCGGGGAAGGCTAGCCAGAGGAGGCCAAAGACGAAGGTGGCAAAAAAGTCCATCTGAAGGAAGAACTTCTGAGAGTCACTGAAGATCATGCGCAAGTCCACTGTGCTCTGCAGCTGGCTATGGTCCAAAAAGAAGAGGACAACACTGCTCACTATGAAGAAAGAGCACACGACCATGTCCACTGCAGGCCGCTAGAAGGATAAAAAAATGACTATCAGTGAAAACAATCGCAATCCTACAATTCAATATCTAATCATTAAATCATTAAAACATTCAATAAAAACTGATTTATGCATTCTTAAAACCTGAGATACAGATATAACCTAATCCAGGGTTTCTTATTAAACTATGGGTCGGGACCCAAAGTGGGCCCTTGGCATGTGAGAGGTGGGTTGCGAGTTACAAGAATACATCTATAATACACACTATTTCTTCTTAAATTGGGTTGTTGGAGGACTATTTGGGTCATGGTACGGTCAATTTCTTATTTTGGTCTCGAGCTCAAAAAGTTTAAGAACACCTGGCTTAACCTATTCATAGTTATACAGAGCTGCTGAGAATAATAATCTAATACCAACTTGAAATAACATTTGTAGTAGCAAGTAGCCTATGATAAAAGTATTCCCAAGCTTTCAATACTGTATCAACCAAATAATAGTGGGTGACTTACTTCGTTAGTATGTACTCTCTGAGAATTGATTCCGTAGCAGCTATCCAGTAGAAGTGCCAGAAATGCCTGTAAATAGACAATTACTCAATAAATCAATCAATCTACGGCGGACAATCCCCCTGTTTCTTGGCCACCAATCGCTTTTGAGGACTTGAGTGTAGCAGAAGATGACCTCTTTGAACAAAATAATGCCTGCTAAACTTGCTGCAATTTGTTTTTTATCTTAGCAGAGTGATAAAATAATGTTTTGTATCAATCAATCTCTCTTTCGGATGGGACGTTAAACGGGTGACCTGACTCTCTGTGGTCACTAAAGATCCCATGGCACTTATCGTAAGAGTAGGGGTGTTAACCCCGGTGTCCTGGCTAAATTCCCAATCTGGCCCTCATACCATCATGGCCACCTAATTTGTATTTGTATTTATTATGAATCCCCATTATCTTCCTGGGGTCCCACAAAATTAAGGCAGTTATACAATTTTTTAAACATTAAAATCAATTCACAACAGATTTCACAACATATTAAGTGTGTGCCCTCAGGCCCCTACTCTACTACCACATATCTACAACACAATATTGTGTGTTTGTATGCATGTGTCTGTGCCTATGTTTGTGTTGCTAATCATCCCCAGCTTCCAATTGGCTCATTCATCCCCCTTCCTCTCCCCTGTAACTATTCCCCAGGTCGTTGCTGTAAATGAGAATGTGTTCCCAGTCAATTTACCTGGTAAAATAAGGGTAAAAAATTAATAAAAAATTAATTAATTAATGAACTACTCACAATCAGCCTGGATGTTGAATGTGCAGACAGTGAAAGTGGATTGCTGTTGCATTTGAAGAGTAGGAACTTTATGTTGCTTGCAAGCCATATACACACTAGTGACCTTGTTAGCTCAAACTGTTCACTGTCAACAGGTTGAATCTCCTCCTAAGAAATAGAAAATAAATGTACAGATTAAAGTCACAATCCTGAATTCAAGCAAGAAAATGGCAGCCTCACCACTTGCTTTGCTATTAAGATGAAGGATGGGTCTGAAGAAATGTAAACAATGTCAAATTCAGATGATGGATGCCAGGAGGACTGACATGATAGTTTTTAAATATGTTTTATCGCCATACATTGTTGGTTTACAAAGACTCACAAAGGCCGCATTCATGTACTAGTCGGAACTAGGACTCTTGGAAATGTTCGACTTGCTAACTGGTTGTTGATATACGTGCCGCGTTCAAACATACTGTATTTGCAAGTAGGAAATGTCCGTTTCCTAGTTCCGACTAGCACGTGAAGGCGGCAATAGACCTAAAACAACTGTATTGGGTTACTGATGTGATAAGAGAAAAGCTTCTTCAAGAATCAATAGACAAGAAACAGTGGGCTATAATTTGAAATGACCATGAACAGAAGGGAAAATAACACTTTCAAAATGCATATGTCAAAAGACAAAAACTAGGCCTATTGATTTCTTATTCATGCATTAACATTTTACATTTGTCCTAACTCCTACAAAATACGATTTCATTTTAGCATTATAAATTCAGTTTGTATCAAAAGTCATGTAAACATAGCCTACCTGATGACTGAAAATGTTCTTCGAAATTATCCGATATCCTGTACACAGAACAAGCCCTAAAGCAATTTCTGCAGAGATAATTTGACTATCCATTGCACTTTTTCTTTTCGGATACATCTTCACATGCGACGTGAGCGACTGCCAACTTTCCGGACTTCTGGAGATAGATAGCTACTACAGCTATATGTAATAGCCATTGAAGGCTATGTAACAACAGCCTTACACAAGCTCCTTACGAAACTCACTGGTGGGCTATGTCGATGGCGGGGAATGAGGGATTTCCTCTACTGGGGACAATCCCCCTGTTTCTGGTCGACCAATCCCTTTTGAGGACTCGAGTGTAGGCTACTTGCGTATTTATATAAGTCATGACTTTAGTGTAACCCAATGAACGAACCAGAAAATGACCTCTTTGAACGAAATGATGGCCTGCTGAACTTGCTGCAATTAAAAAAAAAAATCTTAGCAGAGTGATAAGATAAGATTTTATATATATTTCCAAGCATGTTAGCCATAGGCTTTATTAAGAAATAATTCCAGAACAATTAGGGTAACCCCCCACTTTGATGACCAGCAATTATTTATCCACCAGTAACACCACTAAAGTAATATGCATTGTAACAATTCAAACGTAGCATATACTCTTGTGGCCCTCTGTAGCTCAATTGGTAGAGCATGGCGCTTGTAACGCCAGGGTAGTTTGTTCGATCCCCGGGACCACCCATACGTAAAAATGGATGAAAGCGTCTGCTAAATGGCATATTATGTTATTACTCTTCTTAGTCACTTGGTTAATCATTAGAATGGGGTGTGTGAATAAGACATGCACATTGCACAGGTATACTAGGGCTAGGCCTATAATTTAGAATGTTTACCTCTATCCTGTCTAACTTTACAGTGTTACATAGGGTAGAATACTGCACAATCCTCTTAATTCCACTGCACACTGATTATCACATGCTTTGCCATTTGTGTTCTGTGACGTAACAGGATTACAATTGCCTGAGCTACAGTCATTCATTGAGGAAATATGTGAGGGGAAAGAGGAAACGTGGCCTACTAACATTTATTTATTAATTTTTATTTTATTTCACCTTTATTTAACCAGGTAAGCCAGTTGAGAACAAGTTCTCATTTACAACTGCGGCCTGGCCAAGATAAAGCAAAGCAGTTCGATAAAAACAACAAACACAGAGTTACATATGGAATAAACAAAACGTACAGTCAATAACACAATAGAACATCTATATACAGTGTGTGCAAATTTAGTAAGTTATGGAGGTAAGGCAATAAATAGGCCATAGTGCAAAATAATTACAATTTAGTATTAACACTGGAGTGATAGATGTGCAGAAGATGATGTGCAAATAGAGATACTGGGGTGCAAATGAGCAAAATAAATAACAATGTAAATAACATTATGGGGATGAGGTAGTTGGGTGGGCTAATTACAGATGGGCTGTGTACAGGTGCAGTGATCGGTAATCTGCTCTGACAGCTGATGCTTAAAGATAGTGAGGGAGATGTAAAAAATGGGAGATAAGTGTTTCCAGCTTCAGAGATTTCTGCAATTCGTTCCAGTCATTTGCAGCAGAGAACTGGAAGGAATGGCGGCCAAAGGAGGTGTTGGCTTTGGGGATGACCAGTGAGATATACATAAGCAGAATGTGTGTATAGAGTTGGCTTCTGAGTTCCTTCCCGAGTTGGCTTCTGAGTGGAATCAATTCTATTTTTGTTATGACACATTTTATATGTGTGACAAAGTTCTGGCCTGGGAGGTCTGGAGTAAAGACTGGAAAAGATCCATGAACCGAAGTGTTGAAACAAGCAAATATGGAAATGGTGGTCATCTGTGCATATAGTACAACATCTCAATCTATTGCCTTTATTGAATATATTTTTTTAAATATTGTTACTGCACTGTTTGAGAGGAGAGCTCACAAGTAATTATGTCATTGTACCGTATACACCCTGCTGTATTCTGTGCATATGACAACAAAAAATTTGAATTGATATGTTCAAAGCAACAGCAGGGGGTGCAGTACTGAGCTCTTATTGGCTCTGTTGCTAGAGCTTGAATTAAGACGAGCATTGCCCATAGAGATGGACAGAGGGCACACTTGCAGCAAAGCCTTTTTCAGCATTCAGGTTATATATAGAACCCAAAATGTTTCTATTGCATGCTTCATATCTGACACCCCTAAAGGTTCTATATAGACTTTTTCTTGAAAAAAGGGTTAATTAGGGTTCTATATAGAACCTTTAGAGGTGCCATATATTAAGCAATCGATAGAGTCCTTTTAAAACCTTTTCCTGTAAGAGTGTAGGTAGGAGGTGTGCCCTCTTTCCAACTCTATGACCACTAGTAGTTCAGGTCTCAGGTGATAGAAATGAACAAACGAGGCCAGGTTAGAAATGGGAGACTATGACAGTCCGCCCTCTGAAAAAAACTATGAACACACAATAGATAACAATAAAATAACGATACATTTTTTATTAATTTTTTATTTGATAGAATACTTTCATTGAGATGGACGGACTCACCCAGAGAGCAAGTGATGATGATGATGATGGCTACATGAATCTGCCAGGTGGCCCAAAAACTCCACAGGATACAGTTCTCTCTACAATTCTTGATAGTCATCCTGCTTCAATGGTCACACCAAGCATTCAGGGCTCCCGAGTGGCGCAGCGGTCTTAGGCACTGCATCTCAGTGCTTTGAGGTGTCACTACAGACCCCCTGGTTCGATTCCAGGCTGTATCACAACTGGCCGTGATTGGGAGTCCCATAGGGCGGCGCACAATTGGCCCAGGTTTGGCTGGTGTAGGCTGTCATTGTAAATAATAATTTGTTCTTAACTGACTTGCCTGGTAAAATAAAAAAATAATGTTGCTTCTCAAGGGGAAAATCCCCAGACGTAGGCTGTTTGATAATTTTTTCTTCATTGAATAGTTTAGTTTATTAAAGGCCCAGTGCAGTCAAAACGTGATTTTCCTGTATTTTATATATATTTCCACACTACGAAGTTGAAATAATACTGTCAAATTGTGAAAATGATGATAATGGCCTTTTACTGTAAGATCTGTTTGAAAAGACCACCTGAAATGTCAGCCCATTTTGGTGGGATGGAGTTTTGGCCTGCCTATGACGTCCAGTAACAGACCAATAAAAATAGAGTTCCAAACCTCTATGCCAATAACAGCCAGTGTTCCGTTTTCCCCTCCCCATTCCCAGACAGTCCTAGCACAATTCTTGCTTGAGAAATTGCTCTTTGCTAAGAAGCTATTTTTTCTTTCTTTTTGACCATTTTAATTGAAAACAATCACAGTAAGGTACTTAATTGTTGCCCAGATATTATTTGATATTGAGATAAAAACGCCTGCATTGGACCTTTGTAAATTCTTATTAAAGGCAGTACCTGTGTACTTCTAACTATACATTTTTGTCCCTTAAAGCAAGACTCAGTAAGTGTCAGTTATGTCATTTTGTTTACATTTGATTTCACACAAGAAAATGTGATATTTTATTTTTGACTTACTGATGACTCAAAACCCACATCTGATCTGAACCCTGTAGTTGATGTTTTATTGGTTCATCAGCCAGTGGTCAAGTGATGAGGATAATTTCCTGAATTAATTTCAAAAGACAAGGAAGCAAGAATATCGCCAAGCAATGACCAACAAAGCCTGTGTCATCAAGGGGAGACAAAGAAGGTACATTACAAGACCTTCCAGCTCAACAACATGTATAGATTACATCCCACTGTGACATTACACAAAATTGTCTTGACTGAAACATGATAGACAGTGGGGTCCGGGAATTATAGAAAAATATTCTGTATGGAGGAATGGTCTAAGATCCCTCCCAATGTGTTCTCCAATTTCATAAAACATTTTAGAAAAAGGCTCAGTTTTATCATCCTCTCAAGGGGAGGGTGCTGGAGTATTTCAAAACAAGGGATCCAATCATTTTGATCTGCATCTTTAGATTTTTTTGATTACTTTCTAAACAAAATCTCTTTCTCTGAGCAATTGTGTTATTATAAGATATCATTTGTAGATGTTATTTTAGCATACATGTCCCGATCGTTGAGAGACGGGTCAGACCAAGGTGCAGCGTGGTATGCGAACATGTTTATTAAACTGGATAAACACGTACAAAACAACAAAAGGCAACGAAACGTGATGTCGGAAGGCTATACACAAACAAGCCAAACACACCGAAACACAAACAAGATCCCACAACCCAGGCAGGAAAACTGGCTGCCTAATATGATCCCCAATCAGAGACAACGAGCGACAGCTGCCTCTGATTGGGAATCATACCCGGCCAAACATAGAAATATAACAACTAGACTCTAAACATAGATATACAACAACATAGAACTAAACATGCACACCCTGACCAAACTAACTAGAGTTCTAGAGGTCAGGCCGTGACAGTACCCCCCAGCCCCAAAAGGTGCGGACTCCGGCCGTACAAACCTGACTTAACAGGGGAGGGTCTGGGTGGGCTTCCAGTCTTGGTGGCGGCTCCAGCTCCGGGCGTGACGTCTTCTCCCTTACTGCCTCCGCGTTGCACCCCTGGACCGGTCTGGACCTCAACGCGGAGCTTCCCCTCTCAGTCCTCCCACGATGCACCGATCCCTGTCTGGACCCTGGTGTGGGAGACCCTGAACCTGGAGAGGGGCTGATTTCTGGACCCGGAGTGGAGCCGCTGACCGGAGCTGAACCGGATCCCGGTGGAGCGGACTGCTCTAGCTCCGGAGTGGAGCCGCTGACCGGAACGGGCACCGGTGGAGTGGACTGCTCTGGCTCCGGAGTGGAGCCGCTGACCGGAGCTGGACTGAGCACCGGTGGAGCGGAAAGCTCTGGCTCTGGAGTGGAGCCGCTGACCGGAGCTGGACTGGGCACAGGTGGAGCGCACTACTCTGACTCCGGAGTGGAGTCACTGACCTGAGCTGGACTGGGCACAGGTGTGCTCTGACTCCGGAGTGGAGTCGCTGACCTGAGCTGGACCAGGCACCGGTGGAACGGGCACGGGCCGTGCCGGACTGGGAACACGCACCACTGGCTTGGTGCGAGGAGCAGGCACGGGCCGGGCCGGACTGGGAACACGCACCACTGGCTTGGTGCGAGGAGCAGGCACGGATCTTACCGGACTAGGAGCACGCACCACTGGCTTGGTGCGAGGAGCAGGCACAGATCTTACCGGACTAGGAGCACGCACCACTGGCTTGGTGCGAGAAGCAGGCACGAGGCTACCCGGACTGGGAACCAGCGCTGGAGGTCTACGACTGTACCAGTCCTTTACTCTCCGCGCCCAATCCTCCTCCCGTGAGGACTCCCCCGGGAGCCCCCACGAGTTAGGGAACAGAAACTCATCGTCATCCTCCGACTCCTCAACGTAAAGCTGTTCCCATTCCTGTTCCCATGGTCGTAGGGACTCCAACTGGAACCCCACCGGGTGCAGTGGTCGGGGCTCTTCTCTCTCGATCCCCGACCACCCCTTTAGCCCCCCCAAAAAATTATCTTGGGGCTGCCTCTCGGCCTTCCTCCTCGGCCGGCGCCGGCGGTGTCCCTCTCTAACCCGGGCTTCCTCCGTCTGTTCCCAAGGACGGCGATCCATCCCAGCCTGGATCTCCTCCCATGTCCAAGATCCCTTACCATCCAGGATCTCCTCCCATGTCCAGGATGTCTGCTCCTGGCCACGCTGCTTGGTCCTCGTTTGGTGGGATCTTTTGTCACGATCGTTGAGAGACGGGTCAGACCAAGGTGCAGCGTGGTATGCGAACATGTTTGTTAAACTGGATAAACACGTACAAAACAACAAACGGCAACGAAACATGACGTCAGAAGGCTATACACAAACAAGCCAAACACACCAAAACACAAACAAGATCCCACAACCCAGGCAGAGTCTGTAAGACATTTCTATCTGTCCATGGTTGTTCCACGCCTTTCTCTCTCCTTTGCATGGCAGGAGGCGGATCACTGTCAGTTACAGTAAACTCCACCACTTGCTGCCCAGGATCCCAGGCAGCTGGAGTAACATGGTGACTGTGCTAGAGATGACCATTGCCTATCTGGAGCACATCTAGGAGTTTGTCACAGGCCACAAGCGCACTGATGTAAATGCTCAGGTAAGCCTGAATGGGAATTTTAAACTACACACCTAAATACTGTACGCTTGCATCATACATGATCTGGGGTAGATGTTTTGGGTTGGATGTTTTTTTCTACACTAATACAGGAGTAATAAAGTTCAAGTCTTATTTTATTTATTTTTTATCAGGGGGTGCTGCAGCACACTCAGCACCCCTGCTATGGCATTACATTTACATTTTAGTCATTTAGCAGACGCTCTTATCCAGAGCGACTTACAGTCATGCATGCATACATTTTTACATATGGGTGGTCGCGGGGATCGAACCCATTACCCTGGCATTACAAGCGCCATGCTCCACCAATTGAGCTACAAAGGACCACAGTTAGACTTACAGTTAGTGAGTGCATACATTTTTATACTGGTCATACACAATGTGTAGATGATATATCTCTGTTACATACAGTCTGTCTGTCTACTGGTCTTTCAGTCTGTCTACCTGTCAGTCTGTCTACCGGTCAGTCTGTCTACCGGTCTGTCAGTCTGTCTACCTGTCTGTCAGTCTGTCTACCGGTCTGTCAGTCTACCGGCATCATGGCATCATGTCATAGGTTCTATAAACCCTCATCACTGTCAATCCCTGTATTGTTCTGTAGAAGCTTCCTGAGGAGGGCACCAGAGCATTTCCCCTCAATGACCAATATGAAATAATCAAGGACATCAATGAGAATCATTGAAAGTCTGATTAGGTCTAGGTTTGTATATGATCATCAAACCTTGTATATTATTATTATTATTATTACTAATATCCATCTCCAACACTGAGGCTGTATTTACACAGGCAGGCCAATTATTATATTACTTTTCACTAATGGTGTCACGACTTCCTCCGAAGCTGCCTCCTCTCCTGGTTCGGGCAGGCTTCGGCGTTCATCATCACCGGCCTTCTAGCCGCTGCCGCTCCTCATCTCATCATTCCATTTGTTTTGACTTGTCTATTACACACACCAGGTTCATCTCCCCTCATTAATACGTGTATAAGTGTTCTCTCTGCCCCCTTGTCCTTGTGGGTGATTGTTTAGTGTAGCGCGGTAGAGCGCCGTGTATTTTGTATTATTGGGGTATATTTTCCCAGTGTGCCTGTCTGGTTCCAGTACGCCTGTTTTGCGCACTGGACTATTTCACGCAATTCTGCTTAACTCTGTATTCCGGAATAAACTCTGCATTCTGTGATTTACCCTCCTGCGCCTGACTCCTTCAAATCACCCATCACAAATGGTATTTTGCCAATAATTGGGAGAAATATTAGAATTGGGCTGCCTGTGTAAAACGCAGCCAGTGTTGGTTAATTTTGCAATATTGAGGTAGTATGCTAAATGTAATGTTAATCTTTTGTGGCTGTCACGGTTTCGGCCGAGGCAGCTCCTCCTCCGTGTTCGGGCAGGTTTCGCCGTTCGTCGTCTCCGGAGTACTAGCTGCCACCGCTCTATGTTTTCTGTTTGACTAGTTTGGTCTGTTAGTCACACCTGTCTTGTGTTATGTCTAATTGAGCACCCTATTTAGTTTCCCTGTTGTGAGTGTTGTGTTGTGTGTAATTGTTTCGTGTTGGTGTCGTTTTCGTACCGGTGTTTGGTACGCCACCTCTGTATTTTGCTTACTTCTCGGTTGAGGAGTTTTACGCGCCTGTTTATTTTGCGCGCTTCTGTTTTACGCCTGTGTGCGTTGTGCCTCTGGCTATTTTGGGATTATTGACTCACTTTTCCCAGTAAAGTATTTTTGGACTCTCTTTCTGCTTCTGCACTTGATTCCACACCACACCATTTCTACACGGCCCTGACAGTGGCTCTCAGCTCTTGTTCCCACCAGGCTGATTGAAACAAGCCTAAAGAGGCAGCAATGTCAGAAGCAGCTTGTTTTTAAGTGGAAAGGAAACAGAATGCCAAACGATGAGAAAATATATAGAAGTTCGTGATGAAATGCCAAACCAATATCGTATTTTGTGGGTCTATATGTAATTGTGCATGATCATCTTCCCCTTTTTTGATAAAAGTGAACTTCTCACTGCTGTTTGTGGAAGAAGGGTGAGTTTGAATACCTAAAAGGAATTGAGCCATCGAATTCTGAAACTGGTTCATTTGTCTGTGTGTTACTTTCCCAATGCTCAAATCTATAACCTTTTGTTACAGGTACATGAAGTTGACAGGCAGACCATGGTGTTGCCACGTGTATTTATGTAATGTCATTTTACAATTAAATATATGTATGAGTGATTAATAAAACGATATCATTAAGATCCAAAAACAGTGTATTTGTCCTTTAACAAACACTTAAATGCTGGAATTAAACACCTGAATAAAATCAATTCATACAAATGACTGCATCATGTTGATGAAGTCCACAATGCTCCAGTAAGCAACAGGTGTTATGTGTCAATGATGGTGAAACTGCGTCCAGTCCGGAAATAGTTCTCAATCTCCTCCAGCGATCTGTTCCTGGTCTCAGGGACACACACGGCGGTGAAAATTATGTTCACCACACACACCACCGAGAAGAACAGGAACGGAACAAACAGTCCATAGGTCTCCTGTAGAAAACATGGTCAACACACAACCATTTTGCATTAGTCGTTGAATGTAGGATTATGATTAGGAATCTTGTTATAGGTGAGTAATAATGTATAAGGGACATGGATGAATATTTCACAATAGCATTATACTAGGATGGGATTAGATTAAACTGTTCCAGGTTGAACCGGGCTATGGCCCGTTATGTGACCGGGTGAATCCGGTGAGGGAGGCGCGCCCTGCTCAAATGGAACGGTAATCTGCAGCTGCTCTGTCATATTGTCAACAATGTAACAGTGCATCATTCAGAAACATAAATCCCTTTTCCATAAAATACATGTTCGAATTTTCAAACTAGTTTTCATTGGGAAGGCAGACAAAGCGTTTTAATCAAAAGCAATCACTTTTGCATGTGAAAACACAGAATCCTACTCATTACTCCACACGCTTAACCAACTTCGCCGTCGGCCAGAACGGGCACCAGGCTCAGGCCCGGGAGGCAGCCCGGTTCCAAATCGAATGCAATAAACGCTAACCCGGATACCCTCAAGTTCAGTTAAAAAGATGGGTAGGTCAATTACAGTCTTTGAATGTGATAGTAAGAGGATTTATGTTCAATGTAGTATGTTAAATATTTGTCATTAAAATGTGCCCACACATTGGATTAGTAGTCAGAGTAATGGAGCAATGAACTCACCACCACATGAATGAAGACATGAGTCAAGACAAAGGCAGTCAACCAGCTGACCCCCACACACAGGCCTGACGCGACCCCTCGCGCTCCCAGAGGCAAGATCTCAGACATCAGAAGCCAAGTGATTGGGCCCCATCCCATAGCATAACCTTGATGAGAACGGAGCAGCACGGGCAAAAATGATGACCGTAGGCCTATGTGAAACCACCCGAGTGTGTTGAGTGTGTGGGGAATTACGCATTAAACATGTATTTCCTTAATCAAGACTGAGATTCTTACCAAATATAAAGACCATGGTGCTTATTAATGGGATGAGGGTGATGGTGTTGAAGGCAGCTTCTCCCTGCTGTGCTATGAGGTCTGTGGGGAGCACAGTGCCAGTCAGGTTACCGGAGGGGCAGGGGGTGGTGTGTGAGTACATGTTCATTGTAAGGGTAGCGAGAAACATCAGGAACCCTGCAGAGGAAGAACAAGTGAACAGAAATGCAGTCAATAAAATCGTTAAAAAATTGAAGGGCCTATTTTCTGAGCTCAGTGATGATTTTATGGCTTTGTCACTTGGACTGCGAACGCACCCACCTGAGGTATAGAGGAGGGCCTTCCTTCCAGCCTTGTCCATCAAACTGGCAGCAATCACCACAGATAGCAGTCGAATTGCTCCCACCAGTGCAGCATCGTACTTAGGTTCCTAGATAGAAGTGGATGCATTTAAAATGTCCTTGGTTATGAATGACATGTTCTGTAATGTCAAGGTACTGAGGTAAAGGAGCCATTTGCTGATGTAACAGATTGCGTCGTCAGCTCACCCCACAGCTTGAAATGTCTCCACCGGCACTGCCGAATTGCTAGCTTTTCTGTGGCGCAGCTGGTTAGTACGTTGTCAAACAGGGCGGTTACGTGTGTTGGCGAGGCAGAGGGCGCAAGATCAAGTAGCGGTAAAGATGTGAGCGGGGAAGAAATACTGCTAAGCAGCACAATGACGCCTGATACAGTTTAACCTGATCCCACCTAATCCATTACCCTTTTCCCTGATACAGTTTAACCTGATCCCACCTAATCCATTACCCTTTTCCCTGATACAGTTTAACCTGATCCCACCTAATCCATTACCCTTTTCCCTGATACAGTTTAACTTGATCCCACCTAATCCATTACCCTTTTCCCTGATACAGTTTAACCTGATCCCACCTAATCCAACCCTTTTCCCTGATACAGTTAACCCGATCCCACCTAATCCATTACCCTTTTCCCTGATACAGTTTAACTTGATCCCACCTAATCCATACCCCCTTTCCCTGATACCCGTTTAACCTGATCCCACCTATCCATTACCCTTTTCCTGATACAGTTTAACCTGATCCCACCTAATCCATTACCCTTTTCCTGATACAGTTTAAACCTGATCCCACCTAATCCATTACCCTTTTCCCTGATACAGTTTAACTTGATCCCACCTAATCCATTACCCTTTTCCCTGATACAGTTTAACCTGATCCCACCTAATCCATTACCCTTTTCCCTGATACAGTTGAACCTGATCCCACCTAAACCATTTCCCTTTTTCCCCGATACAGTTTAACCTGATCCCACCTAATCCATTACCCTTTTCCCTGATACAGTTTAACCTGATCCCACCTAATCCATTACCCTTTTCCCTGATACAGTTTAACCTGATCCCACCTAATCCATTACCCTTTTCCCTGATACAGTTTAACTTGATCCCACCTAATCCATTAACCCTTTTCCTGGATTACAGTTTAACATGATCCCACCTTAATCCACTTTACCCTTTTCCCTGATACAGTTGAACTGATCCCAACCTTAATCCATTACCCTTTTCCCTGATACATTTTTGAACCTGATCCCACCTAATCCATTACCCTTTTTCCCTGATCCAAGTTTAACCTGATTCCACCTAATCCATTACCCTTTTCTCACGATCATGCCAACCTGAACCAAACTGCGCTGGCTCAGATATTTCCACATTTTCCAGCACGGTTTCAGAAACTATGGTAGATGCGTAACCAGACCTGCTCAGTGCAGCTTGGTTTGGTTCGGCTCAGTAGTGTGAAAAGCCCCATAGCTGGGAGACAAAAGACACGTACCAGGGAGACATCAGTCTTGTGGAAGATGGGCTCCAGATACACCAGGATGGGAGTTATGCCAGTCATCTGCTGAAGGAACCTCATCACTATGGAGATTAGGATGGGCTTGTAGTAGAACGGCGTTATCAAATCGGACCACCTGATTCTCCCCTGGAGGAAAGGAGAAACACCAAATGTATTCAATCCGAACATCTACAGTAAGTCTTTGGAGGCAGTCAAACCAAAGTACCGTCTGTGTACCTGAGACGAGATACTGAGTTCAATCATGTTGAACTCTGCCATGAAGTCTGAGTCGGGCCCTCTCAGACACTCCAGGGCCTTGCAGGCCTGCTCCTGTTTTCCACAGGTGATGAGGTAGCGGGGAGAGTCGGGCATGAAGCACAGCAGCAGCAGCATGAGCAGAGCTGGGATCTCCCCTGCCACAGCCAGCCACCGCCACGGAACCACTAGCCCTTCACCAAACATACACAAACTCAAAGTTCTGAATAGCAACATGGACCTCCTGGATGGCCCCCTACAGTATCTACCTGTGTACGAGATGTGCCAGGTTCTTACCAAGTGAATAGAGTGACAGGGCTCCAAACACAGCAGTGATTTGAGGGCACGATCCCAAAGCTCCCCTAACTTTGGGGTGGGAGATCTCTGATATATACACCTGGAGCAGTGCAAGAGAAGAGAACACAACCACATCATCACTAATGTAAGGCGTGACAGTAAGCCCATAAGCCTTTACGCCTGTTGTCTAAGATGGGTTTATATTTCCAGGAGAGGGGATTTCAGGAAACATCAATAGATCAGGTTAACCAGTTTCCTAATGACATATTCTGAAGTCCACAGCAGTATCTAAATGGTCTAACTCTTTGTTATTGGATGAAGCATCAGAAGAGCACACAGTGGTGTAAAGTACTTAAGTAAAAATACTTTAAAGTACTACTTAAGTACAGATACCCAAAAAAACTACTTAAATATTTATATTTTTGACAACTTTTACTTTACTACATTCCTAAAGAAAATAATGTACTTTTTACTCAATACATTTTCCCTGACACCCAAAAATGCTCATTACATTTTGAATGCTTAGCAGGACAGGAAAATGGTCAAATTCACACAAGAGAGCATCCCTTTTCATCCCTACTGCCTCTGATCTCACTAAACACAAATGCTTCATTTGTAAATGATGAAGTGTTGGAGTGTGCCCCTGGCTACCGTAAATAAATAAAAAACAAGAAAATGGGTAATATAAGGAATTTGAAATGATTTTTACTTTTACTTTTGATACTTAAGTAGGAATTACATTTACTTTTTATACTAAAGTATTTTAAAAGTACTTTTAGACTTTTAGTATTTTACTGGGTGACTTTCACTTTTACTTGAGTCACTTTATATTAAGGTATCTTTACTTTTACTCAAGTATGACAACTGGGTACTTTTTCCACCACTGAGAGCACACAGCATTATCAGTAGCTGACCTACAGGTATGGAAGCAGCAGTCATGCCACCAGCGATACCAGTTAGGAACCTGCCCAGGTGTAGCATCCAAGTAGCCTGTGCCCCTCCCATCACAATGTACCTGTAAGGGTTGGAAGGACGTATATATGAAAAAATATTTGTATTTTGTATTACTTTGTTAATATTTACTTTATGATCACCAATGTAATGTGGCCTAATACATTGGGGCTTTTTTGTAAATACAATCAATGTATTTGTTCCCTGTTCTTTCAGTAAATAACCAGAAAATGTATATTCCCATCAAGAACATGTGTACATAGCTTACATACCCAACTGTTGAGGGGACTGCTGACACCATGATGCTTAACTTCCGGCCAATCAGGTCATTCAGAAGCATGGCACCAAGTCCTCCTGCTGCAGCCCCCAGTGTGAAAATAGACTGATAAAAGAAAGAGTCAAATAGGGACATGGTTAAAACTAAAGAGGAATGTTTCAGGACATAGTGCTGCTTACACTTACAGTTGAAGTCAGAGGTTTACATACACTTAGATTGGAGTCATTAAAACTCGTTTTTCAACAACTCCACAAATTTCTTGTTAACAAACTATAGTTTTGGCAAGTCGGTTAGGACATCTACTTTGTGCATGACACAAGTAATTTTTCCAACAATTGTTTACAGATTATTTCACTTATAATTCACTGTATCACAATTCCAGTGGGTCAGAAGTTTACATACACTAAGTTGACTTGCCTTTAAACAGCTTGGAAAATTCCAGAAAATGATGTCATGGCTTAAGAAGCTTCTGATAGGCTAATTGACATCATTTGACTCAATTGGAGGTGTACCTGTGGATGTATTTCAAGGCCTACCTTCAAACTCAGTGCCTCTTCGCTTGACATCATGTGAAAATCAAAAGAAATCAGCCAAGACCTCAGAAAAAAATGTGTAGACCTCCACAAGTCTGGTTCATCCTTGGGAGCAATTTCCAAACACCTGAAGGTACCATGTTCATCTGTACAAACAATAATATGCAAGTATAAACACCATGGGACCATGCAGCCGTCATACCGCTCAGGAAGGAGACGCGTTCTGTCTCCTAGAGAATAACATAATTTGGTGCGAAAAGTGCAAATCAATCCCAGAACAACAGCAAAGGACCTTGTGAAGATGCTGGAGGAAACAGGTACAAAAGTATCTAAATCCACAGTAAAACGAGTCCTATATCGACATAACCTGAAAGGCCGCTCAGCAAGGAAGAAGCCACTGCTCCAAAACCGCCATAAAAAAGCCAGACTACGGTTTGCAACTGCATATGGGGACAAAGATCTTACTTTTTGGAGAAATGTCCTATGGTCTGATGAAACAAAAATAGAACTGTTTGGCCATAATGACCATCGTTATGTTTGGAGGGAAAAGGGGGTATCTTGCAAGCTGAAGAACACCATCCCAACCGTGAAGCACAGGGGTGGCAGCATCATTCTGTGGGGGTGCTTTGCTGCAGGAGGGACTGGTGCACATCACAAAATAGATGGCATCATGAGGAAGGAAAATTATGTGGATATATTGAAGCAACATCTCAAGACATCAGTCAGGAAGTTAAAGCTTGGTCGCAAATGGGTCTTCCAAATGGACCCAAGCATACTTCCAAAGTTGTGGCAAAATGGCTTAAGGACAACAAAGTCAAGGTATTGGAATGGCCATCACAAAGCCCTGACCTCAATCGTACAGAACATTTGTGGGCAGAACTGAAAAAGCGTGTGCGAGCAAGGAGGCCTACAAACCTGACTCAGTTACACCATCTCTGTCAGGAGGAATGGGCCAAAATTCACCCAACTTATTGTGGGAAGCTTGTGGAAGGCTACCCGAAACATTTGACCCAAGTTAAACAATTTAAAGGCAATGCTACCAAATACTAATTGAGTGTATGTAAACTTCTGACCCACTGGGAATGTGATGAAAGGAATAAAAGCTGAAATAAATCATTCTCTCTACTATTATTCTGACATTTCACATTCTTAAAATAAAGTGGTGATCCTAACTGACCTAAGACAGGGAATTTTTACTAGGATTAAATGTCAGGAATTGTGAAAAACTGTTTAAATGTATTTGGCTAAGGTGTATGTAAACCTCCGACTTCAACTGTACATCTTACACTTTATACATTCAAACAGAAATGTGCATCCTGTAGCACTAACTCCAAAAAGCTTTGGGACACTGTAAAGTCCATGGAAAATAAGAGCACCTCCTCCCAACTGCCCACTGCACTGAGGCTAGGAAACACTGTCACCACCGATAAATCTACAATAATCGAGAATTTCAACAAGCATTTTGCTACGGCTGGCCATGCTTTCCACCTGGCTACCACTACCCTGGCCACCAGCTCTGCACCCTCCGCTGCAACTTGCCCATATCCCCCCCGCTTCTCCTTCACACAAATTCAGACAGCTGATGTTCTGAAAGAGCTGAAAAATCTGGACCCCTACAAATCAGCTGGGCTAGACAATCTGGACCCTTTCTTTCTAAAATTAGCCGCCGAAATTGTCGCAACCCCTATTACTAGCCTGTTCAACCTCTTTCGTAACGTCTGACATCCCCAGAGATTGGAAAGCTGCCGCGGTCATCCCCCTCTTCAAAGACACTCTACATCCAAACTGTTACAGACCTATATCCATCCTGCCCTGCCTTTCGAAAGTATTTTAAAGCCAAGTTAACAAACAGATCACCGACCATTTCGAATCCCACCGTACCTTCTCTGCTATGCAATCCGGTTTCCGAGCTGGTCATGGGTGCACCTCAGCCACGCTCAAGGTCCTAAACGATATTATAACCGCGATCGATAAAAGACAGTACTGTGCAGCCGTCTTCATCAACCTGGCTAAGGCTTTCGACTCTGTCAACCACCGCATTCTTATTGGCAGACTAAATAGCCTTGGTTTCTCTAATGACTGCCTCGCCTGGTTCACCAACTACTTCTCAGATAGAGTTCAATGTGTCAAATCGGAGGGCCTGTTGTCTGGACCTCTGGCTGTCTCTATGGGGGTGCCACAGGGTTCAATTCTCGGGCCGACTCTATTCTCTGTGTATACCAATGATGTCGCTCTTGCTGCTGGTGACGCTCGGATCCACCTCTATGCGGACAACACCATTTTGTATACATCTGGCCCTTCATTGGAAACTGTGTAAACGAGCTTCAACGCCATACAACACTCCTTCCGTAGCCTCCAACTGCTCTTAAACACTAGTAAAACTAAATGCATGCTCTTCAACTGAACGCTGCTTGCACCCGCCCACCCAACTAGAATCACTACTCTCGGCGGGTCTGACCTAGAGTATGTGGACAACTACAAATACCTAGGTGTCTGGTTAGACTGTAAACTCTCCTTCCAGACTCACATTAAGCATCTCCAATCAAAAGTTAGATCTAGAATCGGCTTCCTATTTCGCAACAAAGCCTCCTTCACTCATGCTGCCAAACATGCCCTCGTAAAACTGACTATCCTACCGATCCTTGACTTTGGCGATGTCATTTACAAAATAGCCTCCAACACTCTACTCAGCAAATTGGATGTAGTCTATCACAGTGCCATCCGTTTTGTCACCAAAGCCCCATATACTACCCACCGTTGTGACCTGTACGCTCTTGTTGGCTGGCCCTCACTACATATTCGTCGCTAAACCCACTGGCTCCAGGTCATCTATAAATCACTGCTAGGCAAATACCCGTCTTATCTTAGCTCATTGGTCACCATAGCAACACCCACCCGTAGTCTGCGCTCCAGCAGGTATATCTCACTGGTCATCCCCAAAGCCAACACCTCCTTTGGCCGCCATTCCTTCCAGTTCTCTGCTGCCAATGCATGGAAACTAACTGCAAAAATCTCTGAAGCTGGAGACTCTTATCTCCCTCACTAACTTTAAGCGTCAGTTGTCAGAGCAGCTTACCGATCACTGCACCTGTACACAGCCATTCTGAAATTAGCCCACCCAACTACCTCATCCCCATATTGTTATTTATTTTGCTAATTTGCACCCCAGTATCTCTATTTGCACATCATATTTTGCACATCTATCATTCCAGTGTTAATTACGAAATTGTAACTATTTTTGCACTAACTATTGTTGCACTATGGCCTATTTATTTATTGCCTTACCTCCATAACTTACTACATTCGCACACACTGTATATATATTTTTGACTTTGTTTTGTTTACCCCAAATGCAACTCTGTTGCACTGCTTTGCTTTATCTTGGCCAGGTCGCAGTTGTAAATGAGAACTTGTTCTCAACTGGCTTACCTGGGCGGCAGGTAGCTTAGTGGTTAAGAGCGTTGTGCCAGTAACCGAAAGGTCGCTGGTTCTAATCCCCGAGCCGACTAGGTGAAAAATCTGTCGATGTGCCCTTGAGCAAGGCACTTAACCCTAATTGCTCCTGTAAGTCGCTCTGGATAAGAGCGTCTGCTAAATGTAAAAAATAAAAAAATAAAAATAAATAAATAAATTACCTGGTTAAATAAAGGTGAAATAAAAATAAAATACTGAATGGGTCAAGTATATGGACTGTCTGATTGATTTGACAATATAGCTGTACTTTTATGAAGAAAAAAAACAGTACATTATCATTGAGGTAAGGCATTATTTTATTGGCTGTCATCAGATAACGTTCTGAAGGAGACACTGAATGAATGAGAAGACATCATTTACATTTTAGTCATTTAGCAGACGCTCTTATCCAGAGCGACTTACAGTTAGTGCATACATTTTCATCGGTTGTTTTTCTCTCTGCCTCACTCACCCCAAACCAGGCTATCTGTTCTGTGTCCATCCTCAGTTTAGGGTTACCACTGTTTTGGAGTTGAGGGATCACTGGGGAGGGGTAAACCAAGGAATAGCCGAAATTGAAATTCCCCAAAACAGCAGAAAACACAGCGAGGTATAGCCTGGCATTGCTGTGGATGAAAAAAAGGGAAAGATATAATATCACATGTTCAAATATGAGTGATATGAATAAACAACTTCATTCATTGTAAATAGCATTTGGTCTGAATCTCTGATGCCTTTGATAGACAGCAGGACATCAATTATATGATTGGTGGCCTACCTCGTGCGCGATGTGCGTTTGACTATTAGCGGTGTATTCTCGTCCATTTTCCTTGTAGCAACCTGTCCGAAGAACTCCTAAACTAGCAGTGTTTTCTAGCTGTTCATTTTTCCTGTAGCAACCTGTCCGACGAAGTCCTAAACTAGTTATACTGAAAGTGAAACAACAGTTTTGCAATTACAAAAAATTCCATTGGGTCATCATTGGAAGGAAGGAGAACAGAAACCCCCAGTCTATGGCAGGCTGTACTTTTTCTGTCGCCATGATAATAATTCCTTGGTTGAGCAACAGACCTAAACGTGTGAAAGGTTGTTTAATCTCATATAATTTAATTGTCTGCATCATTTTCAATCCCCCCATATACTTTCTTTGTAAATATATATATATATATTTCGTTGTAAATAATAATAAATAAATAAAAGCATATATATATATATATATACACAGTACCAGTCAAAAGTTTGGACACACCTACTCATTCAAGGGTTTTTCTTTATTTTTACTATTTTCTACATTGTAGAATAATAGTGAAGACATCAAAACTATGAAATAACACATATGGAATCATGTAGTAACCAAAAAAGTGTTAAACAAATCCAAATATACAGTGGGGAAAAAACGATTTAGTCAGCCACCAATTGTGCAAGTTCTCCCACTTAAAAAGATGAGAGAGGCCTGTAATTTTCATAATAGGTACACGTCAACTATTACAGACAAAATGAGAAGAAAAAAAAATCCAGAAAATCACATTGTAGGATTTTTTATGAATATATTTGCAAATTATGGTGGCAAATAAGTATTTGGTCAATAACAAAAGTTTCTCAATACTTTGTTATATACCCTTTGTTGGCAATGACACAAGTCAAACGTTTTCTGTAAGTCTTCACAAGGTTTTCACACACTGTTGCTGGTATTTTGGCCCATTCCTCCATGCAGATCTCCTCTAGAGCAGTGATGTTTTGGGGCTGTCGCTGGGCAACACTGACTTTCAACTCCCTCCAAAGATTTTCTATGGGGTTGAGATCTGGAGACTGGCTAGGCCACTCCAGGACCTTGAAATGCTTCTTACGAAGCCACTCCTTCGTTGCCCGGGCGGTGTGTTTGGGATCATTGTCATGCTGAAAGACCCAGCCACGTTTCATCTTCAATGCCCTTGCTGATGGAAGGAGGTTTTCACTCAAAATCTCACGATACATGGCCCCATTCATTCTTTCCTTTACACGGATCAGTCGTCCTGATCCCTTTGCAGAAAAACAGCCCCAAAGCATGATGTTTCCACCCCCATGCTTCACTGTAGGTATGGTGTTCTTTGGATGCAACTCAGCAATCTTTGTCCTCCAAACACGACGAGTTGAGTTTTTACCAAAGAGTTCTATTTTGGTTTCATCTGACCATATGACATTCTCCCAGTCCTCTTCTGGATCATCCAAATGCACTCTAGCAAACTTCAGACGGGCCTGGACATGTACTGGCTTAAGCAGGGGGACATGTCTGGCACTGCAGAATTTGAGTCCCTGGCGGCGTAGTGTGTTACTGAGGGTAGGCTTTGTTACTTTGGTCCCAGCTCTCTGCAGGTCATTCACTAGGTCCCCCCGTGTGGTTCTGGGATTTTTGCTCACCATTCTTGTGATCATTTTGACCCCACGGGGTGAGATCTTGCGTGGAGCCCCAGATCGAGGGAGATTATCAGTGGTCTTGTATGTCTTCCATTTCCTAATAATTGCTCCCACAGTTGATTTCTTCAAACCAAGCTGCTATTGCAGATTCAGTCTTCCCAGCCTGGTGCAGGTCTACAATTTTGTTTCTGGTGTCCTTTGACAGCTCTTTGGTCTTGGCCATAGTGGAGTTTGGAGATGACTGTTTGAGGTTGTGGGCAGGTGTCTTTCATACTGATAACAAGTTCAAACAGGTGCCATTAATACAGGTAACGAGTGGAGGACAGAGGAGCCTCTTAAAGAAGAAGTTACAGGTCTGTGAGAGCCAGAATTCTTGCTTGTTGTAGGTGACCAAATACTTATTTTCCACCATAATTTGCAAATAAATTCATAAAAAATCCTACAATGTGATTTTCTGGATTTTTTTTCTCAATTTGTCTGTCATAGTTGATGTGTACCTATGATGAAAATGACAGGACTCTCATCTTTTTAAGTGGGAGAACTTGCACAATTGGTGGCTGACTAAATACTTTTTTCCCCCACTGTATTTTAGATTCTTCAAAGTAGCCACCCTTTGCCTATATGACAGCTTTGCACACTCTTGACATTCTCTCAACCAGCTTCACCTGGAATGATATTCCAACAGTCTTGAAGGAGTTCCCACATATGCTGAGCACTTGTTGGCTGCTTTTCCTTCACTCTGCCGTCCGACTCATCCCAAACCATCTCAATTGGGTTGAGGTCGGGGGATTGTGGAGGCCAGGTAATCTGATACAGCACTCCATCACTCTCCTTCTTGGTCAAATAGCCCTTACACAGCCTGGAGGTGTGATGAGTCATTGTCCTGTTGAAAAACAAATGATAGTCCCACTAAGCCCAAACCAGATAGAATGGTGTATCGCTGCAGAATGCTGTGGTAGCCATGCTGGTTAAGTGTGCCTTGAATTCTAAATAAATCACAGACAGTGTCACCAGCAAGGCACCCCCACACCATAACACCTCCTCCTCCTTGCTTTACGGTGGGAACTACACATGCAGAGATAATCCGTTCACCCCCACCGTGTCCGAAGCATTTATTTGGGCTGACATTTCTGAGGCTGGTAACTCTAATGAACTTGTCCTCAGAAGCAGAGGTAACTCTGGGTCTTCCATTCCTGTGGCGGTCCTCATGAGCGCTTGATGGTTTTTGCGACTGCACTTGAAGAAACGTTAAAAGTTCTTGACATTTTCCGTATTGACTGACCTTCATGTCTGAAAGTAATGATGGACTGTCATTTCTCTTTGCTTATTTGAGCTGTTCTTGCCATAATATGGACTTGGTGTTTACCAAATAGGGCTATCTTCTGTATACCCCCCCTACCTTGTCACAACACAACTGATTGGCTCAAACGCATTAAGGAAAGAAATTCCGCAAATTAACTTTTAAGAATGCACACCTGTTAATTGAAATGCATTCCAGGTGACTCCCTCATGAAGCTGGTTGAGAGAATACCAAGAGTGTTCAAAGCTGTCACAAGGCAAAGGGAGGCTACTTTGAAGTATTTCAAATATAAAATATATTTTGATTTGATTTAACACTTTTTTGGTTACTATATGATTCCAAATATGTTATTTCATAGTTTTGATGTCTTCACTATTATTCTACAATGTAAAAAATAGTAAAAATAAAGAAAAAAACTTGAATGAGTAGGTGTGTCCAAACTTTTGACTGGTGCATTCGGAAAGTATTCAGACCCCTTCCCTTTTTCCACATTTTGTTACGTTACAGCCTTATTCTAAAATTGATTAAATGCATTTTTTTCCTCAACAATCTACACATAATTAGTTTTAGTGACAAAGCAAAAACAGGTTTTTAGAATTTTTTGCAAATTTATTAAATATTTAAAAAAGACAAAATAAAGCTCTGGTGCATTCTGTTTCCATTGATCATCCTTGAGATGTTTCTACAACTTGATTGGAGTCCACCTGTGGTAAATGCTATTGATTGGACATGATTTGGAAAGGCCCACACCTGTCAATATAAGGTCCCACAGTTGACAGTGCATGTCAGAGCAAAAACCAAGCCATGAGGTCGAAGGAATTGTCTGTAGAGTTCAGACACAGGATTGTGTTGAGGCACAGATCTGGGGAAGGATACCAAAACATTTCTGCAGCATTGAAGGTCCCCAAGAACACAGTGGCCTCCATCATTCTTAAATGAAAGAAGAGTTCCACTGTGGCGATGGGAGAACCTTCCAGAAGGACAATCATTTCTGCAGCACTCCACCAATCAGGCCTTTATGGTAGAGTGGCCAGACGGAAGTCACTCCTCAGTAAAAGGCATGACAGCCCGCTTGGAGTTTGCCAAAAGGCACCTAAAGGACTATTAGACCATGAGAAACAAGATTCTCTGGTCTGATGAAACCAAGATTGAACTCTTTGGCCTGAATGCCAAGTGTCACGTCTGAAGGAAACTTGGCACCATCCCTACGGTGAAGCATGGTGGTGGCAACATCATGCTGTGGGGATGTTTTTCAGCAGCAGGGACTGGGAGACTAGTCAGGATCGAGGGAAAGATGAAAGGAGCAAAGCACAGAGAGATCCTTGATGAAAACCTGCTCCAGAGCGCTCAGGACCTCAGACTTCACCTTCCAACAGGACAACGAACCTAAGCACACAGCCAAGACAACGCAGGAGTGGCTTCGGGACAAGTCTCTGAATGTCCTTGAGTGGCCCAGCCAGAGCCTGGACTTGAACCCGATCTAACATCTCTGGAGAGACCTGAAAATAGCTGTGCAGCGACGCTCCCCATCCAACCTAACAGAGTTTGAGAGGATCTACAGAGAATGGAAAAAACTCCCCAAATACAGGTGTGCCAAGCTTGTATTGTCATACCCAAGAAGACTCAAGGCTGTAAACACTGCCAAAGGTGCTTCAACAAAGAACTGAGTAACGGGTCTGAATACTTATGTAAATGTGTTATTTCCGTTTTTTAATTTGTAATACATTTGCAAAAATTTCAAAAAACCTATTTTTGGTTTGTCATTATGGGGTATTGTGTGTAGATTGATGAGGAAAAAAAACTATTTAATCAATTTTAGAATAAGGTTGTAACATAACAAAACGTGGAAAAAGTCAAACGGTCTGAATACTTTCCAAATGCACTGTATATAATGATGTTATAAGTTTAGTGGTAAAGTAGAGTAAAAAAATCAGATGAGGCAACGCTCCAGCAGAGCCAATGGGTAAGTCTTCTGCCGTGTTGATGTCCTCCGTGTCCATAGCCAGAATTATTTTTCAGTGCATGGTGAACAAACAGGTTTCCTGTTATTTTCAGCAGATGTGTAGGTAGGGTGAAGTCTGAGAATACAAACAAAAAATATGAATACAGATAATTAACTAAATGTGCACACGACAATATTCATAACTTAGATTTTGTGCTTAATGTGTTCTCATACACATACCTTGTCCACAATGTTGTCACGCCCTAACCTCTAGAACTCTAGTTAGTTTGGTCAGGGTGTGCATGTTTAGTTCTATGTTGTTGTATATCTATGTTTAGAGTCTAGTTGTTATATTTCTGTTTGGCCGGGTATGATTCCCAATCAGAGGCAGCTGTCGCTCGTTGTCTCTGATTGGGGATCATATTAGGCAGCCAGTTTTCCTGCCTGGGTTGTGGGATCTTGTTTGTGTTTCGGTGTGTTTGGCTTGTTTGTGTATAGCCTTCCGACGTCACGTTTCGTTGCCTTTTGTTGTTTTGTACGTGTTTATCCAGTTTAATAAACATGTTCGCATACCACGCTGCACCTTGGTCTGACCCGTCTCTCAACGATCGTGACAAATGTAGAGGCCCCTGGCATCTTTATTGAAGAGGTAACGGAGGAGGAGGATGGCTGCTGTGACTGAGTCCTGTTACTCTTGTAAATTATATTGACAGTTTATTATATGGCTCAGAGGGGGTATCAGAAAGACCCCCCCAACACCCAGTCATCCTCAACAGTATACTTAACACACACATACTTGTGTATTTGATTATTTGTTATTAAAATACTTATTCTGTGTTTTTCAGTATTTTTCATATAATGTGGACAGAATCAACAATTTTCTAATAAATACTTATTTCAAATGCCTGGCTTATATGCATGGGAGTGTATTTGAGTCAGTGTATTTGAGTATATTCAACTACTTGTCTTTAAAAAAAAAAAAAAAAAAAACTTTATATTAAATGTCTTTGAAAGTAATTAAAATAGTATTTGAACCCAGTTCAGACTGACACACACACACACACGTCATCTGCCCCCAATTTAGCCAGCCTTCAACATATTCCTATCTTTTTGTTGATTGATAACCATTGAATTTTGTCAAATGTTTAAATAATTTAAAACAGTCAATCCATTTTCATTATAATGATCAAATCAAATCAAATGTTATTTGTCACATGCGCCGAATACAACAGGTGTAGACCTTACAGTGAAATGCTTACTTACAAGCCCTTAACCAACAACGCAGTTTTAAGAAAAATAAGTGTTAAGTAAAAAATAAATAAGTAAAAAAATAAATAATAATGAATTAAAGAGCAGCAGTAAAATAACAGTAGCGAGGCTATATACAGTGGGTACCTGTACAGAGTCAATGTGCGGGGGCACAGGTTAGTCAAGGTAATTGAGGTAACATGTACATGTGGGTAGAGGTAAAGTGACTATGCATAGATAGTAAACAGAGAGTAGCAGCAGCGTAAAAGAGGGGGTGGGTGGGGGGGAGGGGCAATGCAAATAGTTCAGGTAGCCATTTCATTAGCTGTTCAGGAGTCTTATGGCTTGGGGGTAGAAGCTGTTAAGAAGCCTTTTGGACCTAGACTTGGCGCTCCGGTACCACTTGCCGTGCGGTAGCAGAGCGAACAGACTATGACTAGCGTGGCTGGAGTCTTTGACAATTTTTTAATGACTATGCATTTGAAACATATACAGTGCCTTCAGAAAGTATTCACACCCCTTGACCTTTTCCACATTTTGTTGTGCTACAGCCTGAATTTAAAATGGATTAAATTGAGATTTTGTGTCACTGGCCTACACACAATACCCCATAAAGTCAAAGTGGAATTATGTTTTTCGAAATTTGTAGAAATTAATTAAAAATGAAAAGCTGAAATGTCTTGAGTCATTAAGTATTCAACCCCTTTGTTATGGCAAGCCTAAATAAGTTCAGGAGTAAAAATGTGCTTAACAAGTCACATAATACGTTTATTTAAAAAAAGTAATAATTATATTGGAACACAAACCCTGCAGCCTTGAATGTTGCATATTACAGGACATTCACGTCATAGTATTTATTACTCACAGGTGATAGGAATGTCCCATCCTAAAACAGCTAACGTCAATCTTCTTAGCCTACTGCAGTGTTCGCAGAACTGAAGGAACCTGAAGCTTCAGGTAGCTTACACCTTCCTGAAGCCTTTATACCTGCAAACACAATAGATGGGAATAGGGGTTGGACCAGGCCAATGACACTTAACCAACCGTAAGCAGGTATGGAGGGACCTGTTGACAAGTCTACTTTCTTTCCCCAGACATGGAGAGCAGTCAAAAACTGGACAATGGAGACATCTAAGGTTTGTACAAACCTGTAGAAAGATTTAATTGCATCAGACAGTAAGAATTGGTCACAGTAAGAAGGTAGCGGTGTGGATAGTGTCAAGTACTCTAATAGATTAACTGTTAAAGTGCATTTCAGACATTTGGATTTCATAAATGTCCTTGCTATCCAGCATCCTTGGGACGTCTCAAGGATCCCATAAAACACTAACCATTTCATAAACAGAGCACAAGAACTGGAGCCATTGTGGAGGAAGACAAGAGAAGGACTGCAGACATATTAAAGGTAGCCCATCTCATGATCCATACCACAATTAAGGCTAAAAAGCCAAATCATTAAGATTACACTTCTAGATCTAACACATGAATGTTTGTGACAGTTCATGACGTGGAATTAGTGACCGCTTTTGGTCCTGCATGAGGGACAGAAAAGGCAGTGACAAGCAATATATTTTTTCTACTAGAATACCATGTACTTTCGCTATGATTTGTGATAATTACATGAAAACATTTAAAATACCTTGACTCTCACATTTATACTTCCTGTGAAAACAGATCCAATCCCCCCACCACATGGTAACTACGGGATAAAGAAGTGCTAAGAACTAAATGAAGTGCTACTGATACAGTAGGAAAGAGAACGTCATGGACATCAACTTGGAATGGACACTGGCCCAGGCAGACTGAAGAGAAGTCACTTCCAGCTGATCTTGATAATTGCACATTGCATGGAAACAGTGACTTTATACACAAGTATCAAAGGACTATTAATGACAAGCAAAAAATAACAATGTGGTAGGAGTGCACTTACCAGAGGACTACAGTTAGCACCTTATCCACCTATAACATACCAAATACTGTAGTTACACTTCAGATCCATAGCTGGGTAAGATCAGCTAGCTCGGAAAGTAAAATCGACATGTACGTAGCACGGCTTTCACCCCCATTGACTGATTCCCTCTGCCTACGAAGTATCTGCCACCGCATCCCAAAGAGGCATCCGTACGAAGCGATTTTAACCTTACCCAGGACAGGAGAAGCAAGCCATTTAACAGTACAAAGCAGTTAACAGTAACCACAACAGCATTAGTTTTATAAATAATAACAAAAGGATCCACGTGTAATATAAACCAAAAGTTTATTTCTACCAATTTGCCCAAGACACTAGAGGAATGAGTTTCCAGTGAGAGAGGGAAGACCCTCTTACATTAACAGGCTTGCGCTCGGTTGGATTGTATGGTTTGTAACACTAGTAAAGCCACTTTAAAAATGCAGACAAGATGGGGGGGGGGTCTCCGTAAAAGCCAAAAAAACAAGTGCTGGTTGTCATCGTCTACTACCCAACATTCACTAGACAAGCTTACAATGAAACCTTTGATTAGTTTAATCCCTTCTCGCCTCACCCCACATCTGAAGCAGAAGTTATGCTCCTGTTTGTTGGTAAGTCCAGCAGACATGTAAAATACGACCATACAATACATTAGATAAAAAAAGGTACCAAAAAGTACAGCAAAAATAACACTTCCATCTCTGGAAATGGAAATGGACACAAAACAATATCAAATAAAAAGTGGAAGTGGCATTTGCTTCCCCAGTTCCTCACTTCATCTGTACATATGGGGCATGAGGCCAAATTTCTGCCAACTCCAAAGGAAAAGCCAGAGCCCATGTTCGCTGTGGCCGGACCATGGGGTTCTTTTTTCTTATTTACTTTAGACCTGCACTACATGTGATCAGTATGGCTTGTAGCTACTCTGGTGGCCTCCACGTCTTGGAGTTTTCCCATAGCCTGCATTGCCCTGGTTGTAGTCATAGCCACCCCCATAGCCGTATCCAGCGGAGTAGTCGTAGTTGCCGTAGCCTCCGTATCCGCTGTATCCTTGCTGTCCATCATAGCCGTAGCCCTGGTTACCGTAGCCTTGGTTCCAGTAGTTGTTGTATCCACCAACACCACCAACACCACCTTGGTTCCAGTTCTGGCCCTGACCTCCACGACCCCTGCCTCTTCCTCCACCTCCACCTCCACGACCCCTGCCTCTTCCTCCACCTCCACGACCCCTGCCTCTTCCTCCACCTCCACGACCTCTGCCTCTTCCTCCACGACCCCTGCCTCTTCCTCCACCTCCACGACCCCTGCCTCTTCCTCCACCTCCACGACCCCTGCCTCTTCCTCCACGACCCCTGCCTCTTCCTCCACCTCCACGGCCCCTGCCTCTTCCTCCACCTCCACGACCCCTGCCTCTTCCTCCACCTCCACGGCCGCCATACTGCTGCTGGTACACCTCTTTGGGCTGGGCTATTTTAATCTCACACTTGCTTCCACTGACATTATGGAATTTCTTTTCTAGCACTTTTTTGACCGGAGTTTAATCCTTATACGTGATGAACACGAACCCCCTTCTCTTTTCCGTCTTTGGGTCCTGTGGAAGCTCAATAATCTCGATCTCGCCAAAGGTTCCAAAGTACTCCTGGGTTGAGGCCACCGACAAAGATTTTCTTGACAGGCTCCTTCTTCATGGCCATGGCCTTCTTGGGGTCGATCTGTCGTCCGTCTAGTCTGTGTTCCTTCTGCTCGAGAACATTGTCTACACCAGCTGCCTCTTTGAAGAGAATACAGCCAAAGCCTCTTGACCGGCCTGTCTGCTGGTCCATCTTTATGGTGCAGTCTGTCACTTCACCGAATTTAGAGAAATAGTCTTTAAGATCTTTCTTACTCGTGTCCCAGCTATGTCCTCCAACAAACATTGTCCCTGCGTCCTCCTCGCCTTTGCTGGCGTTGATCTGTCCGCCTTCGCCTTCCGAGGCACCATTTTGTGAATCTTCTCCCTCCCCTTTGCCTTCTCCCTCTAATGCCGTCTTTCTTCTACGCAGGCTTCGGTCTCTGCCTCGCCTTCATTCAGGGCTTTGGTCTCATCGGCGGGCTCGGCTCCGTTAAAGTCCTCCTCGCCTTCATGGCCGTTTTCGGATGTTTCCATAAACTGTTGCTCGGTGTCAGACATTTTGTACTAGGATCCCTTGTCACAAATAAAATATAAAAGAGGTTGAAAAGAATCTCCCCAAATCGCTTAGTGATAACACAACCAGATGACGCTCTCCAAAATGGATTCACATAATAAGTTGCATGGACTCAAATGGATTTTGTCTGCAATAATAGTGTTCAACATGATTTTTGAATGACTACCTCATCTCTGTACCCCAAACATACAATTATCTGTAAGGTCCCTCAGTCGAGCAGTTAATTTTAAACACAGATTCCACCACAAAGACCAGTGTGGTTTTCCAATGCCTCGCAAAGAAGGGCACCTATTGATAGATTTAAAAAACGTAGACATTGAATATCCCTTTGAGCATAGTGAAGTTATTAATTACATTTACATTTATATTTTAGTCATTTAGCAGACACTCTTATCCAGAGCGACTTACAGTTAGTGAGTGCATACATTATTACATTTTGGATGGTGTATCAATACACCCAGTCACTACAAAGATACAGGCGTCCTTCCTAACTCAATTGCCGGAGAGGAAGGAAACAGCTTTCAGGGATTTCACCATGAGGCTATTGGTGACTTGAAAACAGTTACAGAGTTTAATGGTTGTGATAGGAGAAAACTGAGGATGGATCAACAACATTGTAGTTACTCCACAATATTAACCTAAATGACAGTGAAAATAAGGAAGCCTGTACAGAATAAAAATATTCCAAAACCTGCATCCTGTTTGCAATAAGGCACTAAAGTAAAACTTACAGTAGGTCCTGAATACAAAGCGTTATGTTTAGGGCAAATCCAAAACAACACATCATTGAGTACCACCAGTGGCGATTTTAGCATGTAAATCTTGGTGGGGCAAACTCCCCCAATTTTTTTTTCATGCATGCCAGCAAAGCCACAACACAACACAACACAACACTACACTACACTAAACAATACATTAATTGCACTATAACGGTGCCAAACGGTGCCCACAAACTGTTAGGGCCTACATAAAGTTGTCCCAACAGCAGAGCTTTCTTTTCAGCACCATCTGAGTGAATCCTTACCACTGCTACACCTGGCTATCAGCGGAGCCTTGAATAGCAGCAAAACTGTTAATTCAGCCTCATTTACTGCCTTTTTAAAAAACATAGCTGATATGGCTGACTTGCTTAAGCAAATGTGGTTTCTACTGACAATTGAGATGTACAAACTATGGCATAAGGGGACGACGAGTGGATAAGAGGCAATCCGTAATTTTGATTAAGACATTAATGAGCGAGCTAGGATGGACGTAGTCAATATAACTATTTGTTCAGCACTTTGAAATGTACAGCGACAGAATTCATAACATGGGCCGTTCTTACAGTATTCTCCCTGTACACCAAGGGGGCATATAAGCAGACAATGAAAGCTCTTACAAATTCGATGATTACATTTCTCTAAAACAGGCTATAGGCTACATGTGCACCACAAAGTCAGAACAGTAGGCTAAATTATGAGGGGGAAAGGGACGAAATTATTAGGGTGAGGCACATGGGCAACTAACAGCTTACTACACAACATACACGTAGTATTACTTTCTTAGCTACAGTATACATATCTCCCTGGCATATTACATCATTTATGCAGCAGAATTCAATACATTTTTGGACTCACCTTGTTGTGCTCACTTAAAACAGCTGCCTTACTCAAGAAAGCAGAAAAGAGACCATGTTTGTATGCGGCTATATTCACTCAATGATTAACTTTTTACATTGTTTGCAAACTGATATGTGACATGTATTAATGCCAAAATAACATGCAAAACAGGCAACAACACCCCCCCCCCCAGGTGGGGCTCAAAACAGGTGGGGCTCTGCCCTGAATGACAGGTCGCCACTGAGTACCACTCTTCATATTTCTTCATATATTTTCAAGCATGGTCGTGGCTGCTTATGGGTATGCTTGTCATTGGCAAGGACTAGGGAGTTTTTTTTTTTTACAAAAAGCAATGGAATAGAGCTAAGCACAGGCAAAATCCTATGAGGAAAACCTGGTTCAGTCTGCTTTCCAACATACACTGGGAGACAAATTCAACTTTCAGCAGGACAATAACCTAAAACACAAGGCCAAATATACACTGGAGTAGCTTACCAAGATGACATTGAATGTTCCTGAGAGGCCTAGTTACAGCTTTGACTTAAATCTGCTTTAAAATCTATGGCAAGACTTGACAGAGCTTGAAGAAGTTTTTTAAGAATAATGTGCAAATATTGTACAATCCAGAGACTTACCCAGAAAGACACAGCTGTAATCGCTGCCTTAGGTGATTCTAACATGTATTGACTCAGGGGTGTGAATACTTATGTAAATTAGATATTTATGTTTTTCATTTTCAATAAATTAGCAAACATTTATAAAAACATGTTTTCACTTCATCATTATGGGGTATTGTGTGTAGAAAATAAATACATTTATCAATTTTGAATTCAGGCTGTAACACAAAATGTGGAATAAGTCAAGGGGTTTGAATACTTTCTGAAGGGTTCCTCCAAGAACCCTACCAATTATTGGGGTCTGTTCAATAAGACAAAACCTTACAGGCATTTTCTTATTGCCAAGAACCAAGGAACTTTGAGGATCTTACAAGAACCCATTGTTGAACCCATCATTTAGATATAGATCTACAGGTGAAAATGTAAAGGCTTGTAACAACAAGGTTCATTCAAGGTTAATTTTAGATGTTCAAGAGTGGCCTGGAGTGTTTTTCTAGCCTAAAATAATAATAAATGATTGTGCTGGCGGTCCGGGGCTGTAGTCTGCCTTTCAGTTACTGGCTCAACGCTCTTAACCCCTAGGCTACCTGCCGTCATCTGGCGCCACCTGGCGGCAGCAAGACTAACACAGAGGAATACATTTAAAAATGTAACTAAGGTGTGGCATGCATGGCCAGCCCTTAAATGTACAAAAATAACCAATACGTCATACACAAAAATTACCTTTATTGTCTCCAAGTCCAGTAAAAGGCATGGTGCACACCCCCCAAAAGATAATAGCGGTGCTGACTAACGGAGACTAAACTGTATAAGGCTATACAATAAAGAGAGCCGCACACTTTATATATACCAGAAATGTACTGGGTACACCTCCAACATTTTGGCATCACATTGCCTTCTTCAGTCTCCAAGTCCACACAGCCACCAACTCAAATTGTACTCAGAATACTTACAATTAACAGTGTGTGCCTGCAACCAATCACACGCTCGCAGCCGGCAGGTCACAATCACATGACTACCACCCGTTCCCTTAATTTTATCTCAATGTAGCCTCGGCTCCCAATCTTCGCTCACGTTTTTTTCGAATCTTTACCAACATAATGGCAACATTAACATTACCGAAGGTGAGCTGAAAGTCTGTGGCAGAGGCTGATCTGAATCTGATGTATCCTGAACGGTTAAACATAATTGTGGAGTAGGATTATGTCCCAGGCAGAGACGATACATTGATTCATATCTGAAGACTCGTGCGCGCAATTGAGCATGCGCAGATGCACTCCCCTCAAAACCGTCACAGCCTTGTTTCTAGGCACTTACTCGAAACACAACACTGAAAACTGCTGCTAAAGCGGCGCACAGATTTCAACATATTGAACACACTGCACCATGGACGATTACATGGTAAATATGTATATTTTCATGGTTTAAGTTTCTGCCTCAACAATTAACCTCAATGTAGTTTTCTGACAGACATAATATCAAGGGGCCTGCAATGGTTACAACATAAAAACGTGCCCATTTGTTACAGCATAGTAGTTTGTTTTTATTTATTTATTTACTCGCTCATTTGCATTAACATGTAAAAAATAAACATTGTTTTTAAGATTTTGGATGCAATGTGCCCCGGATGCTTTGGGACAGTTCTATTTGTGAAGAAAAAAAAGTCTGATCTGGAGTTTACACTAAAGAAGGTAACTTTATACTGTACTGTAGTGGGCGCACATTTCATTCATTTTCTAAGGATTTTCATTGGTTCTTTTTGGAATAGATGCTGACATTCTGATATAATTCTGCCCCCCACAGGTTGAGTGTTTGGATGAAGGCAGAGCCAACCAAGCATACCAGGAGGTGAGATTCTGTAGGCCTCTCACAAAACTAGTATTGATACTATGCAAAGTTACTTATTAATAATCTACCTTGCGGTAGTGTGATAGTAGTACGCCTAGTATATGTCAGCTACTTGATTCATATGTCACCATCTGGCTATTCCATCTGATAGGCCTATCTGTTGACGTTTTGGTACACACTGTCACCGTGGTCCATCAAAGTAATATGTTATTTCCATCAGGCTCATTGTCTGCTGAATGTGAGACATCCCAACATCGTCACGTATAAGAAGTTATTCATTTTTTGGGATGAAAGTGTAAGTTGGTTATTTACAGAATAAGTACATGTCCTGTACATGACACATAGGGCAGTAACAGAAAGGCCAGTAACAGAAAGGTTGCTGGTTTAAATCCCCGAGCCGACTAGGTGAAAAATCTGTCAATGTGCCCTTGAGCAAGGCACTTAACCCTGCTCCTGTAAGTTGCTCTGGATGAGAGCGTCTGCTAAATGACTAAAATTTAAAAATGTTAAATCATGAATGTCAGTCTCACTGAAACATTTTGCCTTCTCAGGTATCTTCTGTCTTTCTTTCAATGGTAATGGACTGCCCATACATGACCACCCTGTCCACTGTGGTAACTTATCACAGAGAGGAGGAAAAGAAGATCACCAAAAAGGTCATCAACAACTCAATAGATTTTTCCATCACTAGTTGAACAAGTATAAATGCATACTGTATGTTATCAACCCCTTAAGCATTGAGGGCAATGAGTGTTGTTTTCCAACCAGGTCATCAAGACATTTTTGGGACAAATGGTGGATGCTTTGGCCTACTTGCACAAACGGAGTATTGCACACAGGTAACATGCCCCTCACATTGAAATGTACTGCCAGGCAAGCCTGTATAGTTTGCATGAATGAATAGCCTATGGTATCACAATTCAGGTGTTATGTGGTTTATAAAAATAATAATTTCGGAGTACAATTTCTCATTTTTTTGTAGGAATTTGAAGCCATCAAATATTCTGATGACAAAAGAGGCCAAGTTTGTCATATTTGATTTTGGAACTGCCTCCATCACAGGAGATCGAGTAAAGCTACAGAAAAGAGTAAAGGACTGTATGTGTGGAACAGTTCTTTACTTTATTTGATTACATTGAATTATTTTGTAATTAGAAACAGTACAATTCACTTTGTTTGCCATTTACTGTATCTCTATAGGTGCCAAACGATGGATGGCTCCAGAGAGCCTGACCCATCATCAGTCGACTGAGAAGTCCGACATTTGGTCCCTGGGGTGTGTCCTTCTCGACATGCTGACCTGTCACATGCTTGATGTACGTCTGTATCATTGACTAGTTACTTCTCATTTACCATAGAGGTGGGATTGATATGTAGAGCAGCGTTTCCCAAACCGCTCTCCTCGAGTATGCCATCTATGTACTGTAAATCATTTAATCTATTCCAGTACTACTGGGGTCGGCAAGTAGCCTAGCGGTTAGAGCGTTGGGACAGTAACTCTAAATTTGCTTGTTCAGATCTCTGCGTTGGCAAGGTGGGAAAATCTGCCATTCTGACTTTGCGCATGGCAGTTAACCCCCACAACAACTGCTCCCTGTGTGCCGATGACATGGATGTCAATTAAGGCAGCCCCCCGCACCTCTCTGATTCAGAGGGGTTGAGTTAAATGCGGAAGACACATTTTCGTTGAATGCATTCAGTTGTGCAACTGGCTAGGTATCCCCTTCACCTACTAGCACACCTGGTTTGACTAGTTTAATAAGGTGTGCTGAAATGAATCAAAGAAGTGGGAAGGCTGAGGGTACTAGAAGAGAGGTTTGAGAAACACTACTGATTGTCGTAGTCACTAGGCACCAAACAGAAGAAAGCGGACTGAAACAGGGAACTTGTTCCTCCCAAAAAATGTGTGGACTAATGAATAAGACCCTGATCTCCCATCCACAGGCGGAGGGATCTATCTCTCAGCTGCTGAGGATCAGAGAGGACCAGACACCACTGGACGTCATCGTCCTCAAGGGCCTCCACCAAGTCCTCACTATGATGTTGGACCACAACCCAAAGACCAGGACCAGCGTGTGGTGAGTAGTGTAGTAGCCCTTTAGCAGGGGTGTCAAACTCATTCCACGGAGGGCTGCGTGTCTGCAGGTTTTTTTTTTTCATTTCAATTAAGACTTATACAACCAGGTGTGGGGATTTCCTTACTCATTAGTGACCTTAATTCATCAATCAAGTACAAGGGTGGATTGAAAAACCCGCAGATACAGATATGTGCCCTAGACTGTCAGCTGTCACAGTTTGGTTGAAGTCTGGTTGAGCTCTCGTCACAGAGACATTCCAAGGTTGAAGTCTGGTTGAGCTCTCGTCACAGAGACATTCCAAGGTTGAAGTCTGGTTGAGCTCTCGTCACAGAGACATTCCAAGGTTGAAGTCTGGTTGAACTCTCGTCACAGAGATATTCCAAGGTTGAAGTCTGATTGAGCTCTTATTTACATCATTTAGCAGACGCTCTTATCCAGAGCGACTTACAAATTCATCAGAGACATTTCAATGTATGTATTGTACTTATTAATGGCAATAAATATAATTTGAACTTTATAGGTACAGGGGGCAATAGGATGGGAAAAGGAATAGTGTTATGCTCTCCCTCCACTAATGTCTCGTGAACAGACTACGTAAACATAAATGGTACCGTCTGACAAAATTACATAATATTTTAGTTCTGGGTTAACTGAGATGATCTCTCCACTAAAGGGAACTGTTGAATGAGGATCTGGTGAAGCAGTGTCTGCTGTTGTGTGGATCCCCTCTACACACCATGAAGAAAACACTGCCCCCTGGTGTCCATGGTCCACCATTCCACCAAGGCTTTGACAGTGTTCTAGGTCAGTATTTCCTTTTACTGTCCTCCTTCATTCCCTAATGGTTTTATTACAATTATGTATGTATGTATGTATTTATGTGTGTTTTTGCACAATACTGTGAATGAATGTACGTGTCTAAATTACTGCAGATGTTAATCCCTATAGCCTACTTGTCCTTTATTAAGAGTTTGCGGTTGTGTTCTGACGAATAGTGGTAAATTGTAATTGAAATTATCTTTACATTTGCAGAGTTCATGCAGACCTACAGAGATGTGGAATCTGTCCAGATGTCAGCTCTGTCATACCTGCTGTCTGAGGAGAAGAACGGTAAGGCTGTTTACTTTGCTCATATGGGCGATATGATCTTTAAAATAATTCTCATACAAATCCTAACCTAGTACCAGATCTGTTTGTGCTGTATAGGTAACTCATGGTCCTTGTCATGCCAAACAATCAGATCTGGGACCAGGATATTACAATTGTTCCTCTAGAAAAACATGCCCTCTACGTTAACTTTGAATTGTTATGGTAGTATTCTACAGGGTAACTGACGTTGTTATGGCCGTCACCACTGCCATGCAAAGTCACATGGAATGTGCAGGTGTTCAGCAATATGCTTGCCAGGTTCTACAACAGCGTTTAATTGCAAGTAGGTCAACACTTGGGGTGGGTTGCACCAATGTGGGTTAGATTCCTCTGCCATGTTGGTGTTAGGTTTGGTTGTATAGACAACAAGGTTGTCATCTCTCTGCAATACCCTTGCAGTTCTGGGCCAAGCTGGGGATGGCTCCTGTTTGCGTACCAAGGAAGTGATCACCTGTGTCCTGAATGCTGTGCACAGTCACCCTGAGCAAACACCGCTGCTCTCTCATGCCTTTCAGCTTCTCTTCTGTATCTCCGGGGATGGTCAGTAGTACTTTAATAACAATCTACCATTTTCGATTCAGATTACCGGATTGTTCCAAATGCACAGTGGCAACATGTGCTAATACATTCTTTACTTGGGGGTGCAAATGTAGTCTGTGTACCAGTCTGTTTAGCTATCATTCCACTCATTTCCACTCCTTGTCATGCTAAACATGACTTTGACATATGTCACGGAGTACTTGGAGTGAAATATTAGCTAAACAGTCTGGTACCCAGGCTAGTGCAAATGGGGGTGCTAATCCTAATGTTGAGGGTACTTCAGCACTGGCAAGCCCCTCCCTGGAGCTGCCCCTGCAAGTGTTGTTTTATCTCCCTTTCATCAGAGCAGGCAGCCAGAGAAGTGCTGTACCTGGACGGTATCAGAGAGGTGCTGAACACACTGAGGAAGTTTCCAGAGGATCATAACATCGTCGTGCCCTGTTGCAAATGCTTATGGAGCATATTGGCACAAAGTGAGCGCTGTCATTGTGTAAATGGAATGATCTGCAATTTCTTGATAATTTGCACACGCCATAAGCTCTACCACCAGCCCAAGTGTTGTATGTGTGAACAGCATATTGTGCTTTTCCAGGACTTTGCCTTGGAGTTGTACCTTTAAAAGATGCTGTGGAGGCTGTATGTGTGGCAGCAGAGGCACACATGCAGGACAGCACGGTGATGGAGTTTGTGTGTGCAGCCCTGTGGTCCCTGACCCTACAAGGTAGGCTAAGACCTTCAGAATATTAAGGACGCTTTCACATATCCTCTTATGGCCCGGATCCTGGAGTGTTTGGTACCCAGATCCACGCTATGAAGCATGTGTGAAACGCAAACGAACCCTGGCTGAAACAAATCCTGGACCTGCTTGAGTAGCGGGTCCAAGATCCAGGACCAGAGTACCAGATATTGTGACACGGCAGTGCGAGTTGCATGAATTGTTTTGCCCGTTGCGATGGACCAAACCAAAATATACAAAACTTTTACAATCGGGTGTATTAAATAAAAAATATTTACAATATAGATATCCAAAAAAATTTGTACACCGAAAAATAACATTAGCTATGCAGCTGTAATTAAATAAAGAAAACACATTGAATTATTATTATTATTATTATTATTATTATTATTAACTTATTAACATCCCCTCTTGACCTGGCCTACTTGAACTGTCCTTGTGTGCAACTTGGTGCATAATCTAGGGGAACAACATCACACTACTACACTAGCTTGCTAACATCATGTAGAATGTGCATCTTACTAATTGCACCATGAAACTATTATTTTCAGGTCTTGTGAAAGCAAAATGTATTCTATAGAATTCTCACAAACGCTCCAGGAAACCGAACCAGGGTACTGAATTTCATATGTGAAAACGCCTAGTTTCTACAGCTTGTCTTTGCGCACCAACACACCCAAATGATTGATTAATCACCTCGATTGATTGATTGATTGACTGACTGATTGGTGGATTCTCCGCTGATAGGTTTATCTGAAGACCAGAACATTGAGGATTCCACCCTTCTGTTGATGCACGCACTCCAAGCACATTTAAGGCATAGCCATGTGGTGAAGTATGCATTTCTTGCTCTGGACAGTCTTGTCAAAAGCTCAGGTGAGTCAACATAAACATTGAGACTGCATATCAGAATATATGAGAACTGTCCCTGTTCCTACATTCCTTTTAGAGTTGGCTGCTTTCAGGCTTCTCCTCGCCCCCAATGGAGGAAGTGGATTAGTTATTCTCAAGGAAGCAAAACTCCAACACCATGACAACCCAGAGATCATAGGGAACTTCTGTAGCCTCCTCAGTGCGATGGCCCAATATGGTTAGTGTACACTCCTCACCTTGAATGTAGTGCTATAGTAGCTCAGCTGGTAGAGCACGGCGCTTGTAACGCCAAGGTAGTGGGTTCGATCCCCAGGACCACCCATACACAAAAAAAATGTATGCACGCATGACTGTAAGTCGCTTTGGATAAAAGCGTCTGCTAAATGGCATATTATTATTATTATTACTATAATTTTCCCTTCAGAAAACCATAGCCAATGTATGTGACTGGTTTTCCCAGGTGATGTCATACCCGAGTTAGTTGCTGAGAAGATACCAGATGTCTTGGAGCAGATTGAGAGGCAGTTTGCATCAAATAAGGTAAGTCATTGACTGTGCCTAAAATGCATTTAATGTAGACTAAGATTGATTTGAAGGTCATTATAAACTGGGTGGTTCGAGTCCTGAATGCTGATTGGCTGAAAGCCATGGTATATAAGACCGTATACCACGGGTACGACAAAACATTACTTTTTGAGACTTCTAAACAGCTTCTACCCCCAAGCCATAAGACTCCTGAACATCTAATCAAATGGCTACCCAGACTATTTGCATTGCCCCCCCCATCCCTCTTTTACGCTGCTGCTACTCTCTGTTTACTATCTATGCATAGTCACTTTAACTCTACCTACATGTACATATTACCCCAATTACCTTGACTAACCGGTGCCCCCGCACATTGACTCGGTACCGGTACCCCCTGTATATAGCCTCGCTATTGTTATTTTTACTGCTGCTCATTAATTATTTGTAACTTTTATTTTGTATTATTTAATATTGTATGTTTTAGTGATTTTTTTTTTGTTGGTATTCTTTCTTAAAACTGCATTGTTGGTTAAGGGCTTGTAAGTAAGCATTTCACGGTAAGGTCTACGCCTGTTGTATTCGGCGCATGTGACAAATTAAAATGTGATTTGATTTTTACTGTTTTTAATTACGTTGGTAAACAGTTTATAATAGCAATAAGGCACCTCGGGGGTTTGTAGTATATGGCCAATATACCACGGCTAATGGCTGTATACAGGCACTCTGCGTTGCGTCGTGCGTAAGAAGAGCCCTTAGCCGTGGTATATTGGCCATATACCACACCCCCTCAGGCCTTATTGCATAAATATAACAAAAATTATATTTTTGGGGGGGGGGGCTCAGATGTAAGTCTACTACACGTCTGATTCTTATTGCTTTATTGTATAGGTCAGCTCTGTCCAGGTAATTGATCAGCTAAACCTCTAAACGACCTCTCTCTGATCCCACAGGAGATAGCTCAATTGGCAAAACATGCCCGCCACAGCACAACAAGCTTTGGAAGAGTCAACATGACAAGCTCAACATAATTCAAAGTGTCACGTTGTATTTCATGGATTGCTATAGTGACAGTCAAAATGGTGGTTATTTCAGTCGTTTGTTTTTATTATTAGCTGTACTTGTTTCTATACTGTAAAGGCCTACATGTCAAAAGAGTAAGCTGTTGGCTATTAACCTTATCCTGAAAAACGTATCACCTTATCCTTTCAACAGTTTTATTGCCTTATCCAGGTGATTAAGCTATCACATTATCCTATAAAAATAAAAACATTAGCCTACATGATTAAGTTATTACATTAGCCAGTGTTGTTACATACTCTACCAGTTGAAGGTCTACTGTATAGAAATACATAGGCCCAGTGGTGGAAAAAGTACTAAATGTCATACTTGAGTAAAAGTAAGGATGTGAAAGTCACCCAGCAAAATACTACTTGAGTAAAATTCTAAAAGTATTTGGTTTTAAATATACTTAAGTATCAAAAGTAAATGTAATTGCTAAATTATACTTTAGTATAAAAAGTAAAAGTATACATTTCAAATTCGTTATATTAATGGTGGCACAATTTTCATTTTTTATTTAAGGATAGCCAGGGGCACACAACAAAACTCAGACATCATTTACAAACAAAGCATTTTCCTGTCCTGCTAAGCATTCAAATGTAATAAGTGCTTTTGGGTGTCAGGGTAAATGTATTGAGTAAAAAGTACATTATTTTCTTTAGGATTGTCGTGAAGTAAAAGTTGTCCAAATATAAATAGTAAAGTAGAGACCCCAAAAAACTACTTAAGTAGTACTTTCAAGTGTTTTTACTTGCATACTTTACACCATTGCATAGGCCTGTATGTATCATGTTTTATTTTGTAATTATGTTCTGCTGTATTTATGTGGCCTACAGCTGCAACATCTGTTGGAGCGCCTTACTGGAACCTCAATATAATTTGCCTTGTGAGTGAACATATACATTGCAATCGGAAAGTATTCAGACCCCTTGACTTTTTCCACATTTTGTTAAGTTACAGCCTTATTATAAAATGGATGACACCCCCCCCCCCCCCCCCGCCCCCCGTCCCCCCGTCCCATTAATCTACACACAATACCTCATAATGACAAAGCAAAAACAGGTTTTTAGAAATGTTTGCACATTTATTAAAAATAAAAATACATGAAATAGTACATTTACATAAGTATTCAGACCCTTTACTCAGTACTTTGTTGAAGTACCTTTGGCAGTGATTACAGCCTCAAATCTGTATTTCGGGAGTTTCTCCCATTCTTCTCTGCAGATCCTCTCAAAATCTCAGGTTGGATGGGGAGTGTCGCTGCACAGCTATTTTCGGAGATGTTAGATTGGGTTCAAGTCCGGGCTCTGGCTGGGCCACTCGAGGACATTCAGAGACTTGTCCTGAAGCCACCCCTGCGTTGTCTTGGCTGTGTGCTTAGGGTTGTTGTCCTGTTGGAAGGTGAACCTTCACCCCAGTCTGAGGTCCTGAGCGCTCTGGAGCAGGTTTTTATTAAGGATCTCTCTGTACTTTGCTCCGTTCATCTTTGTCTCGATCCTGACTAGTCTCCCAGTCCCTGCCGCTGATAAACATCCCCACACACAGCATGATGCTGCCACCACCATGCTTCACCGTAGGGATGGTGCAAGGTTTCCTCCAGACGTGACGCTTGGCATTCAGGCCAAAGAGTTCAATCTTGGTTTCATCAGACCAGAGAATCTTGTTTCTCATGGTCAGAGTACTTAAGGTGCCTTTTGGCAAACTCCAAGCGGGTTCTTGGTCACCTCCCTGACCAATGCCCTTCTCTCCTGATTGCTCAGTTTGGCCAGGCGGCCAGCTCTAGGAAGAGTCTTGGTGGTTCTAAACTTCTTCCATTTAAGAATGATGGACCACTGTGTTCTTGGGGACCCTCAATTCTGCAGAAATGTTTTGGTACTGTTATGTGAATTATTTAACAAACTATTTCAGTGTCTCTGTGCGTCTCCTAAAAGGTTGTAAGTCTTTAGGGATTTAAGTAACGGACAGAGTCCCGATCTGCATAGTCAGAGATCTTATTCATTGAGAATTCTGCCATCACAATTTCAGAGTCCATCTTTTATACTCATACGTCATACAAAAATCCCTCCTCTCTGTAGGCAGGCTGTAGTTTTCCACTTTATAATTGCTCTCCTGACCATCAGTTCACACACATATACACACATACACACACACACACACATGCATTTTCTTATCATAGTCTCTCTCCTCCCTAAATTCCTCAGTTATCTTGGTTTCTCAGTTGCCTGTTGTTAGATTAATTTGTATTTTAAGAATAATGACTAAAGGATTTCACCCCAAATACAGTATAAATGTATAAACTGTGTTACAATTATAATGTATTGTCAACCTACTAACAGAGGGGGGCGGGACTAAACATTCCAGGGTGAAGGGGACTGAGAAAACGGGTTACAAAAAGACTCCTAAAGGTGGGCGGAGCAAAATGCCTTTGTGTGTCAAGGGGTATAAAATAGGAGTGTATGGGTTTTGGCGCCAGAGCTCTCCATGAATCAAAATACAGATCATTCTTGCTGGTTGTGGACCTTGAATCATTTATGATTAAAACCAGAGCCTTACAACCTCTGGTAATGATTCAAGCTTAGAAATTCTCGTAACACCTGTAGACAGTTCTCCTTGTCCTTTGTTGTCTGGCCTAACTCTTACTCACGTTGCTAAATAGTAGCACAATGTCATAATCTTTACTGGTCCTACACTCACACATTACCAGGTAGTAGATTCTAACACATCTCACACAGTTTCAGAGTGTAATAATTAGTCACTACTAAGAAAGTACTAATCATACTTAAAACAAGAACATTTCACAACTATATTTAAGGGTGGAACATTTAGTTATTACTTTTAACCCGTATATAGAATTAATTTCTATATCAGGTACCCTTCCCCAGATCTGTACCTCGACACAATCCTGTCTTGGAGCTCTACTGACAATTCCTTGACCTCATGGCTTGGTTTTTGCTCTGACATGCACGATCAACTGTGGGACCTTATATACACAGGTGTGTGCCTTTTTCAAGTCATGTTCAATCAATTGAATTTACCATACGTGGACCCAATCAAAAATTTATGAAAACCTGTTTTCGCTTTGTCATTATGGGATATTGTGTGTAGATTGTGGGAAATCTGTAATTTTAGAATAAGGCTGTAACGTAACAAAATGCACTGTAGTAGGCTACGGGCTGCAAATAGCCTACATTTGAATAGTTTAATGTTTAAATAATATTCACAGTTTAAATAACAAATATTCACCGTTTTGAGTATCACAACGTCTATCCATTCATTATCCATCACAACACGCACACCAGACTACCGGTGAGCAGGAGCTAGGAGAGATTCCTCAGTGAAGCGCGCGGCCGCGTGCTGTCATCGGGCTAGGCGGGTGGATGCCCCACATGTAGGAGCAGCAATCAACCCAATATTTGACGGCAAAACACCATTTGTAATGACAGAATATGTCGGTGAAAAGCTACACAAACCTTTGTACTCAGATATAGACCCGAAAAATACCATTGGACGCATGCATAGAAATCGTGGATCATTTGGAAGAAATTGCTTTGAGACCATGAGTTGCAGATGGGGGACGGAGCTGTGGGTACGTAGAACTGCGCAAATATTTTCGTTATTTAACTTATTCTAACTCTTGCTTTTATCTGATGGACAACCTTTCAATATTTTCCGGTACAAAGTATTTGTGTATGTCTTTGCAATAAGGTAGCGAGCGAGCTTAAAGCTCCTGCTACCACGATGCTTATCTGCGCGTGCATGCAGCCTTTATTATCGGAGGTATAGGCTAGTAGTGGCCGATTCTATACTGGGTCGACTGTTGAACGGTTGGCTACAGCATCGGGTTTTACAGTCTCGGTGATGGATATATTTGTTATGAACCTCAATGTCTATCCCCCATGTTGCCTACGTGAAAAGCTGTAGTTGCTTACACTATCCTTTCTTATTAACCTATTACAATCACTAAACCATTGCAAATGGGGTCCATACCACTGGTCTATACTCTGCAGACACAGTAACTACGCTACAGCGTGTAGCCTATAGCTACATAGTAGCGACTCTGGCAACATGTTTAATTTGCAACGTTGTAGCGAGCGCGGTATTGTAGGCAACGCATTTTGGAATGTGTTTCTTCCCAGCTATCTGTCTTATGTCACCTTATAATAATAATAATAATAATAATAATAATATATGAAATAGCTATTGAGACTCTAGAACAGCGAATAACATAGGTTGAACGTATTCTCAGACACGACGTTTTTGCGCTCACAAAATGACCTATTGCAAATCTCAGAGGGTGACATCCAACATAACGAATTCAATATTTGCAACGATTGTTTCCTGTTGAAAATGGAATCTAGGCCTATAGTTGAATAGGATTGCTTTTTTGTTTTATTAAGTGGCCTAGATGTGGCAGCCTACGTGTATGCACAAATAGGCTATTGAATGCATTGCATAGATGCAAAAGGAACCCGCCACCACATTGTTCATTTGAGTGCACAACATATCATAAATATCCCACGGCGCTGACTGAATGCCAATAGTCCTATTATGTTCACAATTTGCTTCCTGTATCTTATGTTGTAGGCCTACATACAATAGTAGCTGTACAACAGCATAAAGTAAAGTAGTAGCAGAGTTACAGACCTAGTGTTGCAACAAAGACTGATGTAGACTCTATCCTTCTCTAATTTAACCATAATAGCTAATTTCTAATAATAAGTTATTTAGGAAGAAACGCCACTGAGATGCTCTGACTTACAGGAGCAATTATAGTTAAGTGCCTTGCTCAAGGGCCCATCGGAAGTATTGTCACCCAGTCGGCTTGGGGATTCGAAATGGCAACCTTTTGGTTACTGGCCCAACGTTCTTAACCACTAGACTACCTGCCACTTCAGAGCCAGTGTAGCCAGGGCAAGCTATTTGTTGTGAGTTTGAGAATTAACTTGGGGATATTTCTTTGTTTATATAATTTATTCTTATTTAATTTTCTGTCTCTTTTCTTACAGGACCAGTTTGACAACTTGGAAAAGCACACCCACTGGGGCATTGAGTTTGTGGAGAGGTATACAAAATTTGTCAAAGAGAGATCTGAAATTGAAATCAGCTATGCAAAGCAAATCAGGTAAGGCTGGGAAAACATGACCCTCTTCACTCCCCATTTTGATACTGTCTGTCTCTAATGGCGGAGGTGTGACTACTGCTTGAGTACAGGACTACTAAAACATGTTTAGTTGATTTTAGTAACTTTGATAAAACACTACAGAGCCTGTATCACCAATGTCGCCTAAGTCATGCCACAATCAAGTGCAATGAGGTAATGCTCACAAAGAGTGACAAAATAATCTCTGGTATTCAGATTTGTATCAACATTTCTGACATGCATACACAAGGGTCCAGTGGTACAGTATAATAATATTACGTGGGCCAGCTGTTGCTCTATTCTATCACTGCACTGTCTTGGGTCAGGTGGTTGTTGTAATTTAAAGAGAATGCCTTCTCAATAACCTACCTGCTTAAATAAAGGGCACAAATAAATGTATGAATATCAGCCCACTTCAAAGTGATGTTCTAAATTCAGAGGTGAATGTAGGCCTACCTAATGGTGGTAGTTTATGTATCAACAAAGTGAGATGGATTAGTACAGATACAGGCCTTTAACTCAGTACAACCGGAAGTGTAGGTCGCGTATGTAACGCATTACCATGGTTACTAGGTTATCCATAGCAATGACCCACATTTGTTTTCCTCCAATGGTCTTGGGAGCTTCCCACTGTATAATATGGCAGTACTTGCCAGACAGTGATAGTCACTGACGGAGCAGTCCCCGGGGACAGTGGATGAGTTGCATCGCTATCTGCCATTCACTCACCAAGGAATACACAGCAGCAAATTCCTGCATGCATAATCAACCAACATCAACCTTGTATCTGGAGAACATTTTAAGGGGTTTTCTGTGCCTCAGCAATAGTGCTGCTCTGAACTGGATTGTCCTTTGGGTGTGTTTTGTTCTCCAGCCAGTATCACTAATGGCACCATTTTACATTGCATATGAGGTGTTTTGTTAAATTGTGACTTTTCTTCACCAGCCATAATAGATTTGAATTCTTTACATATGTTGATGTTACAGTTGATAGTATATTGATTTAGGAAACCATAGACTATACACATCAGAATATGGAGGGCACGGATTGGACACTGAATGGAGTTATTAAGCCTTTTTAATTAGGCAAAAAGCCCCAAAAGACAAGCAGGGGTTTAAACTGGCCTGAGAAGACAGACTAGGGTCTTGTTAGTCATTTTATTTCCAAAGGGTTAACATGAATCTGGGCGTATGGGATTTGCACCATGTGCTGTGGTGTCAGGATCCAGATTTGTCATGTGGCTGCAAGCAGACAAAGAGGTGGCTGGCACGTCTGGCAATCTGCCTAGCAACACATCAGAATAGATGGTCTGGAGCAGAGCACAGTGAGTGGAGGCTACCAGTGATTTATGGGGAGAAATGCATTCCGGAATTCTTGCCTCTGTATCTGCTTACGATAGTCCACTCAGAGGATGCATATTATATTACATGATATGAAATATCTTACATTTTTCATTGTTTCATTGTACAGATAGTATGATGATATTTCAAGATGAATCTTGCACATACAGTTGTGCTTTCAAAGTAAGGCTCTATCCCCAGTTGGATGAATCATCCTGAGTTTCACATTAAAGCTAAGGGATGACTTCCTGACACAGTGCCTCTCATGCTGCTCTTTCTTGTCCAATCACGCTGTTGTTCATAGAGATGTGTGCATATGAGGCCCAGATGCAGAGGTAAACCGAGGATAATCTGTCACTTGTCAGGATAAAAATTCTAGTTGCCCATTACATACATCAGGCCCGTCCATACATCAACAGCTTGTGCTTTTGACATCCTGTCACTGGGCGCCCCTTCCCCATGAGTGCACAAATATACAATATCTTTGTTTACACATGTCCCTCTGTATCTCTCCACAGTTCCTCATTTACAGTGTATTGCATGTTTTCCACACCTGTACTGAATTATTTTCCCATTCCCTAACAGAAACCTCTCGAAAAAATATCAGCCCAAGAAAAACTCAAGAGAGGAAGACGAATACAAGTGAGTGAAATGTGAACGCATCAAGGATTAATGTTCACTGTATCAGGTTGACCATGCACATTAATGTGGCTATTATTTTTGTGATTAATTCATAAAGTCATGTAATCAATTCTCTGATTTCCCATCTCCGCTCATTACCGGCTGTTAGTGGGTAAACATAGCTGTTTCAGATTAACATGGCTAGACTTTCATGGCTTGCAGTGAAACACTCCATATCTGCCCTGGAGGTTACTGTGTAGCTAAAGCCAAGGTTATTTCCAGAAGGATACTTTTTTTCCATCAAGAAGTTATCCTTCGTTGTATGTGCAAAACAGTTGGACAATTCCAAGACATGTGCATAGTGACTGTTTGAAAGAAAATTAGAGACTTTTCTTAAGGCAAGGGAGGAAGCCTTTGAAGGAAGTAGTGCCAGATGAGAGGGGAAGGTCTATACGGACACTCATGACACTTAAACCGACTAGCCACCCTGAGCCTAATCCTTACCCTAACCGTGACCTAATTTTAACCAATTCTGAAATGAAATATCGGTTTAAGCATCAGGGGTGTCCATATAGCCTTTTCCAGATGAGGGTGTTATCCGTGGCTTATTTCCCCACTTAGTCACAAAATCACAAAAATAGAATTCTAAGTATGTCCTGTCGTTCGAAGACCCTGTCGAAGTGGTCTGTAAATTCTAGAATTTTGAATATTATATAGTCCATAATATACAGTACTTATCAATTTTTTTCTTTTGATATTATATGACCAAATATATTCCTCTCAGATAATGGAATGTGCTGATGATCTTCTGTACAAGTGTGACGTTAATATTTCTCAGGATGTATAATAATAAAGCTGTCGTGATTAAATGTGAAAAAAGTTTTTCAACATGTTTCGTGGTCACGTCTCGTCACCAGGTACACGTCCTGTCGGGCCTTCCTGATGACCCTGAACGAGCTGAACGACTATGCGGGACAACACGAGGTCATGGCTGAGGATCTCACCACTCACATCATCTGTGAGCTGACGCGATACATCCAGGAGTTGAAAGCAGAGAGGAAATCGGTAAAACATCCCTTTTCCTGTGCATCGCTCATTCAGACATTAATTGAACTCTCCCAGATCATGATCATTGGCAGCTCAACCATTTTGTGGTGAGGCTATCCAGAGATTATGGATATCACATGATCTGAACGAAACCAGCCAATCCCTGGTCAACCAGTGGCGGCTCTGCACGGTGCTTTGGAAAAACATAACAATCAGATCAACAAATGTGCAAATGCCATTGCTTGAGCAGATGCAAAAATGCTATTATGTCATTTGTGATTGTCATTGCTCTGACCGACACAGCCAGGGATCAAGCTGATAATCTGTTATGATGTTGATCATCATTTTACACCGCCCCATCCAATAAATCCCGGGGATAGAACTGGGTCAAGTATCCAGGTCAATGGATTGGAAGCAGGTTGACCCTACTGCCCCCACCCATCCATAGTAGCCTCCACTGCTGATAAGTGGACCAGGCCTCTGTCTGGAGCTGGGTGGCTGGAACTAATATGACGTGGGGGTGTGTATGACGAGAGCAATGTGTAACAGCCCCCCACCCCACACACACACAGACACACTTTTGTAAGGTTTTGGCCTCGTCTGACAGCATGTCTTTGACCATGGCTCAGCTCAGAGCAAGAGAGTTAGTCCTTTTTTGTTTTTTGAAACCAGCTTATTTCAGTCCTACCATTCCTGTTGCATTATTTAGATTTTCTAACCTGTAGTAAAGGTAGCTTTGATCGATAGCTCACTCCGATGTATGTTTTTTCATTCATAAAATTCCCAACCAGAACATGGTGTAGTTAAATGAGGTCCTGATACCAGGAATTGAACATTAGCTTTGAAAGCCACACCAATGGTTTACGTCTCCTATCATTTAAATTCAACTCACAACAAAAACAGAAGTGCCTTTTGAGTCTTCAGTGAGACTCTGTAAGTGCCCTTGGAGGTGGTTGTATATGCTGTGAGGAGCATTACATTAGTCAAGAATAAGCACATCAGCAAATCACTTTAGTCAGTGTAGTTTTGGCTCAGTAGTTTTGATTCTATGGAATGGCTAAGGAGTAGATGTGTCTTTTTGTTGGGGATGTTGTAGTCTACAGTGTGTAGCTCTTTCATTCATCATAATGAGTGTCATAATATATTTCATAAGAGATGTAGAAGTCTCTTGACTGTCTAGTTCTAGATACTAAACTGTTCAGCGTTCAAACCACAAATGATTCTACTGCTGTTTATGCGTCCTTTAACAGATTAACATTTATTTTTATTTTTACAGCATTTCCATGATGGCCGCAGAGCTCAGCAACACATTGAGAATTCTTGGAAACAACTCGAATCCGTAAGTGTCCTCCTGAGGTAGAAGTAATTGAAGAGATACACCACTGAACCATTCCAACTTTACATGTGAATTGCCTCTCCTCAGAGTAAACGGAGATTTGAGAGAGACTGCAAGGAGGCGGACAGAGCCCAGCAGTACTTTGACAAGATTGATGCTGACATCAACGTGACTAAAGCGGACGTTGAAAAAGTAAGTTATAGACTGACGTAGAAATGTTCACTCCTACCCACAATTGACTTGACCTCATCACGTGTGTGTGCGTGCGTGTGTGGGCCCACGCGCATGCGTGTGTGCGTTTGGCGCCTGTAGGTGGGTGTATGTGTGTGAATGTGCAGCTACTCTTAGTCGCCACGCCACTCCACTCCCACTCATGAAGCTGTGAACATGGTTTGCGTGGCAACAGCTTCACTGACAAGAGAATGCTGTGGCCCTCTTGGAAGTGGGGTTGGAGCCAAATATGAATCACTGCTGGTAGACAAGGGTACAGTGCTTCATGGCGCTCCAGCTATGGGCTTTTCTCATTGTTCCCTCTAAACTCAATGCCTCAGATGCTAACCAAGCCATGTTACTGTACCAGTATAATGCCGATTCCAAAATACAGTGCTATTATTTCAGTATTGAGTAGAAAACATCAACATTGCCCTTTCTGTCAGTCGTGAAAGAACATGCCTAGAATGTTGTTATTTTAGACCTTAGAGTTATATGATTCCTTACCCTGACAGGAGTCTATGGGCCAGGAGAGACTGTAATCCAAGGTTTAGAGTTTAAACAGCCACTGCTAATTCCAGCTAACATAAGCCATCACTAACCAAAAGATGGGGGCAAAGGGTTGATTTCAGTTGATTTAGCCATGACATTTTGACATTGCACAGTTGCCTGCAATTGTACAAAGATGCAAACAGTTTGCAAACCTTCTCAGGCACTATTGACATCACGCAGTGAAATGTACCACCTAATGTACAAGTCAAGAATCTCAGAAAGCTAACATGGACTAACCTAAACAGAATAAATTATCATTAAACGTTAATATACATTTTGCGTGTCAGTTACTGTTGTACAAAGTCACCTTTTCTATGAAATTTGGTGAAAACCATACAAGCAATGCCATAGTCAAAGTATTAAAAAGTATATTCCACATAGTTCAAGCCTTTTTGCAGTCTAGTAAGCAATGCCATAGTTCACTACATATTTGTCGCCAAACCCACTGGCTCCAGGTCATCTATAAATCACTGCTAGGCAAATCTCCGCCTTATCTTAGCTCATTGGTCACCATAGCAACACCCACCCGTACATTTACATTTACATTTACGTCATTTAGCAGACGCTCTTATCCAGAGCGACTTACAAATAGGTGCATTCACCTTATAGCCAGTGGGATAACCACTTTACAATGTGTTTTATTTTTATTTATTTAATATATATATATTTTTTAAAGTTTTTTTTTTTTTTTTGGGGGGGGGGGTAGAAGGATTACTTTATCCTATCCCAGGTATTCCTTAAAGAGGTGGGGTTTCAAATGTCTCCGGAAGGTGGTGAGTGACTCCGCTGTCCTGGCGTCGTGAGGGAGCTTGTTCCACCATTGGGGTGCCAGAGCAGCGAACAGTTTTGACTGGACTGAGCGGGAACTATGCTTCCGCAGAGGTAGGGGAGCCAGCAGGCCAGAGGTGGATGAACGCAGTGCCCTCGTTTGGGTGTAGGGACTGATCAGAGCCTGAAGGTACGGAGGTGCCGTTCCCCTCACAGCTCCATAGGCAAGCACCATGGTCTTGTAACAGATGCGAGCTTCAACTGGAAGCCAGTGGAGTGTGCGGAGGAGCGGGGTGACGTGAGAGAACTTGGGAAGGTTGAACACCAGACGGGCTGCGGCATTCTGGATGAGTTGTAGGGGTTTAATGGCACAGGCAGGGAGCCCAGCCAACAGCGAGTTGCAGTAATCCAGACGGGAGATGACAAGTGCCTGGATTAGGACCTGTGCCGCTTCCTGTGTAAGGCAGGGTCGTACTCTCCGAATGTTGTAGAGCATGAACCTACAGGATCGGGTCACCGCCTTGATGTTAGCGGAGAACGACAGGGTGTTGTCCAGGGTCACGCCAAGGCTCTTCGCACTCTGGGAGGAGGACACAACGGAGTTGTCAACCGTGATGGCGAGATCATGGAACGGGCAGTCCTTCCCCGGGAGGAAGAGCAGCTCCGTCTTGCCGAGGTTCAGCTTGAGGTGGTGATCCGTCATCCATACTGATATGTCTGCCAGACATGCAGAGATGCGATTCGCCACCTGGTTATCAGAAGGGGGAAAGGAGAAGATTAGTTGTGTGTCATCAGCGTAGCAATGATAGGAGAGGCCATGTGAGGATATGACAGAGCCAAGTGACTTGGTGTATAGCAAGAATAGGAGAGGGCCTAGAACTGAGCCCTGGGGGACACCAGTGGTGAGAGCACGTGGTGCGGAGACAGCTTCTCGCCACGCCACTTGGTAGGAGCGACCGGTCAGGTAGGACGCAATCCAAGAGTGAGCCGCGCCGGAGATGCTCGGAGAGGGTGGAGAGGAGGATCCGATGGTTCACAGTATCAAAGGCAGCAGACAGGTCTAGAAGGACAAGAGCAGAGGAGAGAGAGTTAGCTTTAACAGTGCGGAGAGCCTCCGTGACACAGAGAAGAGCAGTCTCAGTTGAATGACCAGTCTTGAAACCTGACTGGTTTGGATCAAGAAGGTCATTCTGAGAGAGATAGCAAGAGAGTTGGCTAAAGACGGCACGCTCAATAGTTTTGGAGAGAAAAGAAAGAAGGGATACTGGTCTGTAGTTGTTGACATCAGAGGGGTCGAGTGTTGGTTTTTTGAGAAGGGGTGCAACTCTCGCTCTCTTGAAGACGGAAGGGACATAGCCAGCGGTCAAGGATGAGTTGATCAGCGAGGTGAGGTAAGGGAGAAGGTCACCGGAGATGGTCTGGAGAAGAGAGGAGGGGATAGGGTCAAGCGGGCAGGTTGTTGGGCGGCCTGCCGTCACAAGTCGCAAGATTTTATCTGGAGAGAGAGGGGAGAAAGAAGTCAAAGCATAGGGTAGGGCAGTGTGAGCAGGACCAGCAGTGTCATTTGACTTAACAAAAGAGGATCGGATGTCGTCAACCTTCTTTTCAAAATGGTTGACGAAGTCATCCACAGAGAGGGAGGGGGGGGGGGGGGGGATTCAGCAGGGAGGAGAATGTGGCAAAGAGCTTCCTAGGGTTAGAGGCGGATGCTTGGAATTTAGAGTGGTAGAAAGTGGCCTTAGCATAAGAAAAAGATGAAGAAAATGTAGAGAGGAGGGAGTGAAAAGATGCCAGGTCCGCAGGGAGTCTAGTTTTCTTCCCTTTCCGCTCAGCTGCCCGGAGCTCTGTTCTGTGAGCTCGCAATGAGTCATCAAGCCACGGAGCTGGAGGGGAGGACCGAGCCGGCCGGGAGGATAGGGGACATAGAGAGTCAAAGGATGCAGAAAGGGAGGAGAGGAGGGTTGAGGAGGCAGAATCAGGAGATTGGAGGGAGAAGGCTTGAGCAGAGGGAAGAGATGATAGGATGGAAGAGGAGAGAGTAGCGGGAGAGAGAGAGCGAAGGTTGCGACGGCGCATTACCATCTGTGTAGGGGCAGAGTGAGTAGTGTTGGAGGAGAGGGAGAGAGAAATGGATACAAAGTAGTGGTCGGAGACTTGGAGGGGAGTTGCAGTGAGATTAGTAGAAGAACAGCATCTAGTAAAGATGAGGTCAAGCGTATTGCCTGCCTTGTGAGTAGGGGGGGACGGTGAGAGGATGAGGTCAAAAGAGGAGAGGAGTGGAAAGAAGGAGGCAGAGAGAAATGAGTCAAATGTAGACATAGGGAGGTTGAAATCACCCAGAACTGTGAGGGGTGAGCCATCCTCAGGAAAGGAACTTATCAAGGCGTCAAGCTCATTGATGAACTCTCCAAGGGAACCTGGAGGGCGATAGATGACAAGGATATTAAGCTTAAATGGGCTAGTGACTGTGACAGCATGGAATTCAAATGAGGAGATAGACAGATGGGTCAGGGGAAAAATTGAGAATGTCCACTTGGGAGAGATGAGGATTCCTGTGCCACCACCCCGCTGACCAGATGCTCTCAGGGTATGTGAGAACACATGGTCAGACGAGGAGAGAGCAGCAGGAGTAGCAGTGTTTTCAGTGGTAATCCATGTTTCCGTCAGCGCCAAGAAGTCGAGGGACTGGAGGGTAGCATAGGCTGAGATGAACTCTGCCTTGTTGGCAGCAGAGCGGCAGTTCCAGAGGCTGCCTGAGATCTGGAACTCCACGTGGGTCGTGCGTGCAGGGACCACCAGGTTAGAAAGGCAGCAGCCACGCGGTGTGAGGCGTTTGTGTAGCCTGTGCGGAGAGGAGAGAACAGGGATAGGCAGAGGCATAGTTGACAGGCTGCAGCAGATGGCTACAATAATGCAGAGGAGATCGGAAAAAAATGAACTAAACATCTGGGAAAGGAGAGAGCGGGGCCTCCCTCACCACAACTCCCAAATATAACTCTCCCAACTTCCACCTCAGAAACTATAATTGTTGTAAACTACAGCGGTTCAATGTTTTCTAGGAATAGACTAACTTAGTTTATTCAACTAGCTAACTAGGTGCAGTATTATTCCGTGAAAAACGTCCGGGCACCTCGTCATAAGACGCCACAGCCAGCTAGCATGCCGGTCTCCAACAACACAGTTTAGCGCCAATACTCAGCCACAACAACCACCAGTGTATCAACACGCAAGCAGATCGTTCGTGTCCGTGTCTAACGTTGTGGGTTAGTCCCGACAGCTTGAGCGAGTCCGTCGTCAACTTATTCAGCCAGTTAGTTAGCTAGAATAGTTAGCAAACTAGCTAGCCATTGCTTTCAGACAAAGAAGAACCCCTCCTTTCACGGCACGAACACACAGAGAGAGCCAAACTAACGTTAACTAGTCACCCATGTCCCGAATTCCTTGAGCGACTCGGGCTATCAATATGTAAAAAACAAAACACAAGTGTATGTTATGACTTACCCCTAGCAGCTACTGTTAGCTAGCCAAGTGCAAAGCTAGCCACTGAATTGACTCAGCCAGTTCGCGTCTGTTCGCTCGGTCGTTCCAACTATTGTTTACTAGTAGCTATCCAGGTAGCAACAAGCTAGCTAAATTACAAGCACAGTAGCCACTTGCTACCTAACGTTAACACCCGTAGTATGCGCTCCAGCAGGTATATCTCACTGGTCATCCCCAAAGCCAACACCTCCTTTGGCCGCCATTCCTTCCAGTTCTCTGCTGCCAATGGCTGGAACAATTTGCAAAAATCTCTGAAGCTGGAGACTCTTATCTCCCTCACTAACTTTAAGCATCAGTTGTCAGAGCACCTTACCGATCACTGCACCTGTACACAGCCCTTCTGAAATTAGCCCACCCAACTACCTCATCCCCATATTGTTATTTATTTTGCTCATTTGCACCCCAGTATCTCTATTTGCACAACATCTCTTGCACATCTATCATTCCAGTGTTAATACTAATTGTAATAATTTTGCACTATAGCCTATTTATTGCCTTACCTCCATAACTTGCTACATTTGCACACACTGTATATATATTTTCTGTTGTATTTTTGACTTTATGTTTTGTTTTACCCCATATGTAACTCTGTGTTGTTTATTTTATCGCACTGCTTTGCTTTATCTTGGCCAGGTCGCAGTTGTAAATGAGAACTTGTTCTCAACTGGCTTACCTGGTTAAATAAAGGTGGAAAAAAAAATTAATAGTACTGTAGTTCATTCAGTACATTACTAATAAATGAATAAAACTTTCACATAATTAGGACGTCTAAAACCTGTCTGTAGTACTCTGAAACTAACTCTGTTTTTGTTTTCCATCATGTCTTATAGCGGTGCTATCTCAAGGTAGGTTTACTAGGTGTCTGTATGTCTGTAAGGTTCAATGTACACCCGTAGACATACACTACATGGCCAAAAGTATGTGGACACATGCTTGTCGAACATCTCATTCCAAAATCATGGGCATTAATATGGAGTTGGTCCCCCCTTTGCTGCTATAACAGCCTCCACTCTTCTGGGAAGGCTTTCCACTAGATGTTGGAACAGTTCTGCAGGGACTTGCTTCCATTCAGGCACAAGAGCATTAGTGAGGTCGGGCACTGATGTTGGTCGATTAGGTCTGGCTCGCAGTTGGCGTTCCAATTCATCCCAAAGGTGTTCGATGGGGTTGAGGTCAGGGCTCTGTGCAGGCCAGTCAAGTTCTTCCACACTGTTCTCAACAAACCATTTCTGTATGGACCTTGCTTTGTGCACGGGGCATTCTCATGCTGAAACAGGAAAGGGCCAAACTGTTGCCACAAAGTTGGAAGCACAGAATCGTCTAGAATGTCATTGTATGCTGTAGCATTAAGATTTCCCTTCACTGGAACTAAGGCGCCTAGCCTGAACCATGAAAAACAGCCCCAGACCATTATTCCTCCTCCACCAAACTTTACAGTTGGCACTATGCATTCGGGCAGGTAGCGTTCTCCTGGCATCCGCCAAACCCAGATTAATCTGTCGGACTGTCAGATGGTGAAGCGTGATTCATCACGCCAGAGAACGTGTTTCCACTTCTCCAGAGTCCAATAGCAGCGAGCTTTACACCACTCTAGCCGTCGCTTGGCATTGCGGATGGTGATCTTAGGCATGTGTGCGGCTGCTCAGCCGTGGAAACCCATTTCGTGAATCTCCCAACTAACAGTTATTGCTTCCAGAGGCAGTTTGGAAGTCGGTAGTGAGTGTTGCAACCGAGGACAGATGATTTTTACGCGCTATGCACTTCAGCACTTGGCGGTCCTGTTCTGTGAGCTTGTGTGGTCTGCCACTTCGCAGCTGAGCCATTGTTGCGCCTAGACGTTTCCACTTCAGAATAACAGCACTTACAGTTGACCGGGGCAGCACATTTGACTGACTGACTTTTTGGAAAGTTGGCATCCTATGACGGTGCCATGTTGAAAGACACTGAGCTCTTTGGTAAGGCCATTCTACTGCCAGTGTTTGTCTATGGAGATTGCATGGGTGTGTGCTCGATTTGATACACCTGTCAGCAATGGATGTGGCTGAAATAGCCGAATCCACTAATTTGAAGGGGTGTCCACATACTTTTGTATATGTAGTGTACTATTGCCAGTTTCACTCGGAATGTCATTTCAAAATAAGATCTCCAAAGACTTGGAAGGGACGCAGTTATGGATTGGAATGGGTATTTAATGTAAGAAGCTGCTGGGGTCAGTTAGTGGAACAGCATTCCTAAATGGTAATTGAATAACACTACAGTGAAAAGACACATTTATAAACATATTCATATATAAACACATAACAAATATAGGCACAAATTAAATGCATCATCGTTTAGATTGCAAAGTATAATGTCATGCATACAAAATGTTTTGATGGTTTACTGTGAGTCCTGTTATGCTATGGATACAGTCCTCAACTGTCTGCTGAAACAACATCCAGATCTTGTTCTGTCAGTGTACAGTTTGTCTGTGTTCATCTTCTATGTAGGTGGATTAAGTGCATGCAAAATTAACAAAGTTTGCTGTTTTCTTTTGTTATTGTTGTTTGTTTATGGTCAATGTTTCCGTCATCTGGTCATTGTAAACATTAAATGTGAATTGAGGAGCTGCATCACAATACACCAACCAATAGTCTTGACGTCCTGGCATGGTGTAATACACATTCTTGACACTATTGGGGAGACCCACTCCCAGCAAAGTAACACAGCATAGCTCAGCTTTGACACACATACTAACCCTCAGGTCATCATTTGTATAACTCTACTATGCTTTACTATATCCACTATATATAACAATAACATATAACACTCCTCTCTCCCTCCAAGAGGAAAGGAAAGCCACCGAATTCTAGTTTCCTGCCACTAATGTATCTATGGCATAGGCACTTCCCTTAGCCGTGTTTCCTTGTCTTGTTCGACGTGGCAGAGGAGGTTTAAAGCCCAATGAAATATTAATTGACACTGTTAAGATCCTGGTATGTCAGATGCAAAAATGTAACCCTATAAGAGGATGAGGGTGGGTTGGTTCAACTCTCTCGTGATCATTTGATGAAAATGTATTACTGGCCTAGGCCGCGATTGGGTCGTTGTTTTTACAACATGCTGTGGACTATAACGACAGTGGTGCTTATATAATGTGTGGTATTGAGATTTGTGTTGTTTTTGTGCTTTAAATCAAGCATACTATACTGTCTGTATGGGGGTTTCAGTTCAATATTATTCACATTCTGTTTTTCTTTTTTTAAGATTGACTTTGCTTTGATCAATGTTATGCGTGTTAACACACAATGTACTGTGTCAGTGTTCTGTGGAACAACGCAAGGTTTACAGTCCCACTTGTTGGTGTGCATGCAAATCTTTAAACGCTCTCTGAACTCCCTCGCGGTGTACAGGCCAGACAGCAGGCCCAGATGAAACACCAAGTGGCAGAGGACAGCAAGAATGAATACCTCACCTACCTGCAGAAGTTCAACAAGGAGCAGAATGCACATTATTATACCCTCATACCTCACATCTTTCAGGTAGTTCACCTCACTCACAGTACCGAATGATTGGAAGTGCATCAGGGAGAAACTCACTGCATTCACTAGTACGCAGTGCTTGACTTGGGCAGGAGCTCACCGGAGCTCCTCATATTTTCTACTGCTTGAGCACCTGCACCTCATAGAATATTAGCTCCTGCACCTAAATATAAACAGTACCGGCACCCAAAATGAGTACCGACACCTATTTCAGTCCAAGTCAAGTACTGCCAGTACTCACATCCACCCTATTCACAATATAACTGATGTGTATGTGATTGGCAACTCACAATCCTATTTTAAGTGATAGTAATCAAACAATGTCTTCTTTGCTGCAGAAACTACAGGAGATGGAGGAGAAACGGATCGAGAGAGTGGGAGAGTCTATGAAGACTTACGCAGAGGTCGATCGGAAAGTGTTACCTATTGTTGGCAAATGTTTAGATGGCATGACCAATGCAGCAGAATCCATCCAGCCAAAAATGGTTAGTAGGCCTGCTGCATGTTTACAACATGTTTCTTGTTATGTACAGTCATTTTCCATTGTGACAAACTGTGAGGAAAGTGCATAGGAAAATCTGTTATACATTTTAGTGACATCATTTGACTGGATTTCTATATAAAAGAGCGGAGAGAATATTATTGCAGTTGTTCGTTGTTCTATTCGCTGAAGCTGTGAAGGGTTAGCAGCCCACTAAATATAGGAGGAGAAGATCCATTATTTACACCATCAAAACGCTGACTTTGGCGCTTCGTTAATGGCTGTCCCACTTTCACATTAATGAGATGTGATTGTTGCTAGGCAAAGTCGCACACGGGTTTCATCAACGATAGTGACAGTTTTATTCTATATCTCAAAGGAATCCAGTTTTGGGGCATTTGTTAACATATACATTTACATATGGTAAAAAAAGAAATACAGTAGCGTGAACTCAGTTTTACTATGTATCTGAGATCAGTGTTGGTCTATGATCAGCCCCCCAACCCCCATCCATTTATTATAGCGAAGATAAAAATGTATCCTAGATCAGCACTTTTACTCTAAAACGCTTTCTGTGGTGTGTTCGAAGAGCCATGCCTTTGCTGTAATTGTGTCTCCCTGCGCCAGATAAGAGTTTGAAAATGCTGTAGTTTTGAAGTTGGCTTCCGAGAGGAATACTTACACTTTAAAGTGCAAATGAGTTTCTGCAATTTGGTTCATTTTGGTGCCCTCAAGCTGAAATACATTTGGTGAATATTCATAATATTCTGTCTGTTATACATTAATGAACTCACTATCCCCAACAGGACACCAAGCAGGTGGTGGAATCCTACAAGTCTGGCTTCGAGCCACCTGGCGACGTAGAGGTTGAGGACTATAGTCTGTCTATGAGGCGGACTGTGTCAGAGTCCAGCTATCTAAACTCGCGAGGGGAGAGCAAGCCCAGCCGCAGCAACAGCAGGGGAAAACTGTGGCCTTTCATCAAGAGAAACAAGGTAAGGCCAACACCGTCAGTCCACAAGACTGCCCTCTACCTACTGTACTGTACTAGCCAGGGCCGCGTTCGGCAGGGCCCCACGCTGTGGAATGTTCAGGCAGAAATATATGTTGACGAACACACGCACGTCTCTGACATTAAGAATAAGGAATCCTGTCCACTCTCGTCATTGTATTTCCATCTGAAATGTTCCACGTTTCCACAACTGAATGTGGCCCAGGTGTCTGACTGAATGTGGCCCAGGTGTCTGACTGAACGTGGCCCAGGTGTCTGACTGAATGTGGCCCAGGTGTCTGACTGAACGTGGCCCAGGTGTCTGACTGAACGTGGCCCAGGTGTCTGACTGAACGTGGCCCAGGTGTCTGACTGAACGTGGCCCAGGTGTCTGACTGAACGTGGCCCAGGTGTCTGACTGAAGGTGGCCCAGGTGTCTGACTGAAGGTGGCCCAGGTGTCTGACTGAACGTGGCCCAGGTGTCTGACTGAACGTGGCCCAGGTGTCTGACTGAACGTGGCCCAGGTGTCTGACTGAACGTGGCCCAGGTGTCTGACTGAACGTGGCCCGGTGTCTGACTGAACGTGGCCCGGTGTCTGACTGAACGTGGCCAGGTGTCTGACTGAACGTGGCCCAGGTGTCTGACTGAACGTGGCCCAGGTGTCTGACTGAACGTGGCCCAGGTGTCTGACTGAACGTGGCCCAGGTGTCTGACTGAAGTGGCCCAGGTGTCTGACTGAAGGTGGCCCAGGGTGTCCTGACGGAAGGTGGCCCAGGTGTCTGACTGAAGGTGGCCCAGGTGTCTGACTGAAGGTGGCCCAGGTGTCTGACTGAAGGTGGCCCCATGGGTCTTACTGAGGTGGCCCAGGTGTCTGACTGAAGGTGGCCCAGGTGTCTGACTGAACGTGGACCAGGTGTCCAACTGAACTGGAGAGGGATATATTTTTTTAAAATATGAAATAAATGCTTGTTGGAAACACTATATCTAAATGTTCAACTTGTGCTGGACACAGTGTTCACTCGTCATACAATAACAGTTACTTAACCGCTGCCGTCTTAAGTGTTGTTAACCAGATTCTTTCTGTTGTCCTTCCATAATTTAATTATTTGTGGTGTTACTTTTCCTGATTTCTTTCTGTTATTGTTTTGTTCCATACCACTCCATGACCCTTACCCATAGCTTATGTCTTTGTTAGCTTCCCCACGCCAACCACCCCCTCCACCCCCTACCTCCCCATCACCTGGTGCCGTGCCAAACGGCCCCCAGTCTCCCCAGCAACCCAGTGAGCCCCTCTCCCACCGCCTCAACGAGTTCATGACCTCCAAACATAAAATGCAATGCTTAAGGAGTCTGAAGCGTGGGGTAAGTTGATTTTGTACGGGAAGATTGACTCTGTGCTTTATGACATTGACGTAGTGCCTATGGGCTACTGATAGTGGTTCCTACTACAGTTGCTCGATCCCTTTGAATGGCATCCGACCGGGCCTACCACCTGGCCTACCACCTGGCCTACCACCTGGCCTACCACCTGGCCTACCACCTGTAGACAATCGTATGGAAGTTGTGTTTATTCTGGCACTGTGTCCAAATTTCCAATTTATGGTTGGTGTGTGTGTTTCATGTTAATTGTTTTAAGATTTGTTTATACTGTAGGTGGACAAAATGCTGCCAATGGCGAATGAACTGTTCAGACTGACATGCCATATATCTTAATATCCACAACCCTTCATTGTTGCTTGTACAGTTTCATACTTCTGTCTCAAAGTTTCAAACGTATGTTGACATTGTGTATTTTTTGTCCCATTGTCTCCCCTCACTTGGAAAGCTTTCTCTCAAGCTGGTAAGCACGACTGTTTTCATAACTCTTCAGATGGTTGATGACTATATGGTTTTGTAATGCACACATTACAGGTGCAATCTACATCACTATAGAGGAATCTAAAGTGTGTACTTTCAACTGAATATGCTCATCTCAGATCTCATTGTTGCTGACAACAATATAAAGTGCAGTGCTGTGAAAAAGTATTTGCCCCCTTTCTGATTTTCTCTATTTTTGCATATTTTTGACACTGAATTTTATCAGATCTTCAACCAAAACCTAATAATAAATAAAGGGGACCTGAGTTTACAAATAACAACAAAAAAGTATACTATTTTATTTATTTAATTAACAAAGTTATGCAACACCCAATTCCCCTGTTTGGAAAAATAATTGCCCCCTTACACTCAGTAACCGGTTGTGCCACCTTTAGCTGCAATGACTGCAACCAAATGCTTCCTGTAGTTGTTGATCAGTCTCTCACATCACTGTGGAGGAATTGTGGCCCACTCTTGCATGCAGAACTGCTTTAACTCAGCGGCATTTGTGGGTTTTCAAGCATGAACTGCTCGTTTCAATAAGTATGTAATTGTTGTGTTATTTGTTCACTCAGGTTCCCTTTATCTAATATTAGGTTTTGGTTGAAGATCTGATAACATTCAGTATAACAAATATGCAAAAGTATGAAATAACACATATGGAATCATGTCATAACCAAAAAAGTGTTAAACAAATCAAAATATACTTCAAATAGCCACCCTTTGCCTTGATGACAGCTTTGCACACTCTTGGCATTCTCTCAACCAGCTTCACCTGGAATGCTTTTCCAACAGTCTTGAAGGAGTTCCCACATATGCTGAGCACTTGTTGGCTGCTTTTCCTTCACTCTGCCGTCCGACTCATCCCAAACCATCTCAATTGGGTTGAGGTCGGAGGATTGTGGAGGCCAGGTCATCTGATGCAGCACTCCATCACTCTCCTTCTTGGTAAAATAGCCCTTACACAGCCTGGAGGTGTGTTGGGTCATTGTCCTGTTGAAAAACAAATGATAGTCCCACTAAGCCCAAACCAGATGGGATGGCGTATCGCTGCAGAATTCTGTAGTAGCCATGCTGGTTAAGTGTACCTTGAATTCTAAATAAATCACACAGTGTCACCAGCAAAGCACCCTCACACCAAAACACCTCCTCCTCCAATTTGGACTCCAGACCAAAGGACAAATTTCCACCGTTCTAATGTTCATTGCTTGTGTTTCCTGGCCCAAGCAGGTCTCTTCTTCTTATTGGTGTCCTTTAGTAGTGGTTTATTTGCAGCAATTTAACCATGAAGGCCTGATTCACACAGTCCCCTCTGAACAGTTGATGTTGAGATGTGTCTGTGACTTAAACTCTGTGAAAGTATCCTCTGCAGCAGAGGTAACTCTGGGTCTTCCATTCCTGTGGCAGTCCTCATGAGAGCCAGTTTCATCATAGCGCTTGATGGTTTTTGCGACTGCACTTGAAGAAACGTTCAAAGTTCTTGAAATGTTCCGTATTGACTGACAATTCCACAAATTAACTTTTAAGAAGGCACACCTGTTAATTGAAATGCATTCCAGGTGACTACCTCATGAAGCTGGTTGAGAGAATTCCAAGAGTGTGCAAAGCTGTCATCAAGGCAAAGGGTGGCTATTTGAAGAATCTCAAATATAAAATATATTTTGATTTGTTTAACACGTTTTTGGTTACTACATGATTCCATATTTGTTGTTTCATAGTTTTGATGTCTTCACTATTATTCTACAATGTACAAAATAGTAAAAATAAAGAAAAACCCATGAATGAGTAGATGTGTCCAAACTTTTGACTGGTAGTGTAGGTCTGGGTGTTTATTTGGTGGTTTGTTTTTTCATAGGGTTCTGGCCCTGAAGATTGTAGTCACCTGCCTCCTGAACAGAGGAGGAAGAAACTCCAGGCCAAAATCAGTGACATTAACAAGGAAATACAAAAAGAGATGGATCAGAGGTAGAGTACATGTGTGATTGTCCAATTTGTGAATCTAGATGAGTAGTTTTAAACTAACAGAACAATTCTTCAATATGAATGTATGAATGCGTTGTAGGGATGCTCTGTCTAAAATGAAGGACGTGTACATAAAGAATCCACACATGGGGGACCCCAACAGTGTGGACCCACGATTAGAGGAGATCTGCCAAAATATTGACAAGTTACAACTGGATGCAAGGAAATATGAAGTAAGTTGAAATGTTACAAAGGATCCATGTCGATGCATGTTAGATATTTCATGTTTGTCAGAGTATGTTCTAGTGGTGGTGCTGACGACTCCAGACCACACACTAAGATCTGGGTTGGAATCTTTGTCTGCCACTTTCACCCCCGTCTTTCCCCTCATCTTTCCCATATCGATCCAAAATAAAGACGAATAAAGGGAGTGGGATTCCACACACTAGTTAATGTATGTTCGTATTGTTATGTTCGTATTCTTATCTTTTATTATTTCTTATTGGTGTTGCATTGTCGAGAAGGAACCTGCAAGTAAGCATTTTGTTGGACGGTGTATACCATGTGTATCCCGTACATACGACTAATAAACCTTGAAATGTATCATCAAGTACAAATCAAGTATTGTTGAGTCTAAACCTTTTGATGTCTGTCTGCAGGCCTGGCTGGTAGAGGTGGAGACCAGGTTAGCGGAGAAGAGTGACCCACACAAACGACAAAGTGGATTGTACGACTCCCAGACTACTACACCAGTCAACAACAACTGTGCACATGTCAACCGAGAGAGGTAGAACAAATGTGCCCCTTACTATATCTCAGAAACAGTGGACTAGCAGACAGAATTAAAAATAAAAATAAAAACCTTGCTCTAGCTAGCTAACAATGTCTGTCACAAGAGATTACCATATGTTTTGACTAAAACTTGTTTGGGGGCTTGTTGCACATTATTTATTATGCTCTAATTATAACTGACAAGGACTGTCTATTGACTCAATGTATGCTTATTACCACGGCTTTAAATGTATGGGTTTATGGATTTGACAAGTCTCACCCGTGCCATATGTGCAATTTTGGATGATATGATAGGCTGGTGACTTGAAAAATTGCACATACAGTATCCATGTTGTTGGTCTTTACTGTTGCTCTTTTATGTGGTTAGCCCGGACGGCAGCTACACAGAGGATCCTAGCACAGAGCATCACCTCAAATCTCGGAGCACCGACTTTGATGATGACTTTGATTACGAGGACCCACTCCCCACTATCGGAACCTGCAAATCACTCTACCTATTCGAAGGTATGCCAAGGCCCCTTCTGGAAATATGTGTTGTAGATTGGGGTTTGTTGTATTTTTCAGAACAGATGTCTCGCCTGGGTCAAATAACATGGAATCAGCTTCTTCTGCCATGTTAAAGAAAAGTGCTGCAAAGAAGATATAACTCATCGGGGCATATTCAGAAATGTAAAGTCTGTATGTCATTACATAGGTTATTGTTAGATGATTGCAAATGATCGTGGTGCTTCGCATCACCCTGCGAGATAGTTTTTCACATTAACGATCTACCGTTGGTGCAGCATAGGCATTTTGGAAGTAAGTAACATTTTAACACACTCAGCTGTAAAATAACAATGACTTGCCGTTTTCTCTTTCCTGTCTCCTTCTCAGGTCAGAACGAAGGCACCATTTCCATGACCGAGGGGGAGCTGCTTTATGTCATAGAGGAGGATAAGGGTGACGGGTGGACGCGGGTGCGTAGGAACGAGGACGAAGAGGGATACGTGCCCACATCTTACATCAAGGAATTTTTCGACACAAATGCCAAAGGTGCTATGACATACATATAATTGTCATTGTTAGAGAGAGGGGAAATGGGTGGACAAAAAATTAAATATCTCCTGACATTTCAACCCCCCTGAACTCTGGTGTTTCAGAAATATCACAGAATCATTGAGACAGAACTCTCAGAACAACGGACTGTATTTACATTTGTACTTGGGCTTTTTACCTTCTACCATTTTGCACCCGTTAAAACTAATTTAGGAGAAGGCTTTGTTTGTGTGTATGAAGACGTGTGGATATGTTAAATTGTCAGAACCAAGTTAAGTTGTTCGACCCCACTGTCGATATCAGCTACACCTTGCTTATAGCACTAATAATAATAACCAATGTCAATTTCTTGATTTATTTGACCAACAAAATACCGATTCTCATATTAGAGAGCATTGCATCTAAACAGATCAATTCCTATTTGGAATAGCTATTATTGCATGCCTAAAGGGAGACTCGTTATGCTCTGCACGCCTCCACTGCATATCAGCTATGCCTTGCTTCTAGCACTAATAATAATAACCAATTTCTTGATTTATTTGACCAACAAAATACGGTTTCTCATATTAGAGAGCATTGCATCTAAACATATCAATTCCTATTTGGAATAGCTATTATTGCATGCCTAAAGGGAGACTCGTTATGCTCTGCCAGCCTCCACTGCATTGCATTCACAGTACATCGTATATCTGCTCTTGAGCAGCAACCATCAGCAGGGGATTACTTTAAGATTGCGAAGCAGAGAGGCGAACTAAATCAGTTGTTGCATGTGGCGTGTTTCAAAGAGGACATGCCTGTTTACACAGTAAAGGAAAAAAAGCTATGTGATATTTAGAAAAGAACGCGGCTTGCATGTTATCTTGATTAGGATGGTACAACAGACTAGTAATGTATTCTCTTCCACAAACTGTTGTTGACTCCTCCAAAATCTGACAAAGGGGCTTCATTGAAGCGCCTAAATTACTGAATGTCCTGCTAGGTTTACAGTGGTGTTCTCGACCGATAAACGTTCATTTCATTCTGAAAAACATGGTAACGCAACCACCACCATTCTATCATTGGCATGCGATTCATTTATTTTGTATAATGAATAATGTATCCCTGCTTTGCTTTTTTATTTGATACTGAGTTGTTCTGCATGCTTGAACCAATTGATAAGTCAAAGTAAGTCAAATCAGATGAATGAACATAGTATTGGAACCAGGTGATATACCTCTGTTTTGAAAATGATTAACACATGTAGCCTCGAGTTTTCTGTACATAAACATGCTCTGGTGCAGCATAGATCCTACTCTAGGGAAACGTAATCTACCACAATAATTGTCAGAATGTGAAGGAATGTCGTGGAATGACTTTCCTCGTGTCTTGATGCATCACCTCTAACATGTCTTGTGTGATTTTTGTTTGTTTGCTTTTTTTGTTTGCATTTTTTCTTATTGCAGATTCCTAAAAGTCTTTGGCTCGCACAGGGATGGCAGGGCACAGGTCCTTGCAAAAAGCGCCCTCCTCTTAAAACTGTAGTCAGAGAGACGACAGACTAAAGGGACAAGTTGCAAGGCAGTCCAATTTGCGACCCAGTACAGAAATCCATTGTGGGCTTCTGTTGAATGGAGCAAAAACAACACACATTGCGGGGCAACCACCATTTCTAGTCATTTTCCTATTGATTGTTTCTGCAAGCTTGGTTGTTGTTTTTCTAACTGCAGATGGGTATGTTCATGTTGTGGCTGCTTGCTATTATACTGTACCTTGTCCCCAGGGGCGGTACCTGTTTAAAGGGAGGGGGGGAGTCTGAGACGGCCTTGTTACATATTGAATATTCCAACTATTCCAAACCTGCATTCAAGCTATCATCACGACAAACACTACACCGTAGGAAAATACCCATGGAACACTTGGGCTGGAATTCAATTGCTTAATCCCAATGTCGAAGAAAAAAAGCAATTGTGTTTGTGCCACAAAAAAACATGTTTACAGTAATGTCAATTAGACAAAACAGAATAAATCTACGTTTTCTTAGCACTGGAACAATGTTGCTGATTTTCCAGGGGAATTCAATTCCAGCTCTTATTCAACACAGTAATGCCTCAGGATTACTGTACACATCCATGTATCTATTTTGGGGTATATAGATTATATACCGATCATACTTAAATTACACTGATTGTTGGCTTGCAACATATCTGCACAAATTTGTTTTGGCACCAATTTCACTTTCGAGTTTTAGTTGGAAACTGTGACAAATGACTGCATTGTGTGATCGTCTGACTCAAGCACTCAGTGCAGGTTTACTGGTAAGCATACAATCTGAACGGAGATGACGGATCTCTCTTCTCTCGTTTTGCTCTCCCCTATTGGCTTTCAATATGAGTGACAGCTGCTCTCTCTGGCTACACCGCCACACAGGCAGTAGCTATGGTGATTGTCTCACAACTCTCTTTCTCCGTCTCTCACACTTTGTTTTCCCTTTTCTCTCTCTTTCTGACTACTTGTGGTGGCGGTAGCTACTCTTTGGTTGGCGCTATGTTTGTCTACGCATGCATGCTTGCCCTGTCTTGCCTGTGCCAGTCCTACAGAGGGTCTGACTATCTATTACGTTAACTCATCCCACCTTGTTCCTTTCTTACCCTGTGTTTGTGCCTGTGGTTTTGTAATTTTAACAAAACATTTTTGTGAGTTCGACATTTCTTTTTTGTCAATGCAAGCATGACCACTTTTGCTTTTTCGATGAATTATTGATATGTCCATGCAGTTTTGCCATCTTCCAGAGAGACACTGACAGTTTCATATCGCTCTTCTGTTTTAAAAGCTTATTTTCACTGAAGTTAATCTGGGAGCTGCAGCTCTTTGCATTAGCTGATTACCAACTCAAACTGACAAACGGAAGTTTTTGTATGTCTATTGATAAAGAGATGCATATTACCGAACTGAAGTTTCAGTGTATTCTGGAAGTATTTTGTGCTTTGAATTCACTGTGTACTGTCCCTTATACTGTACAGAACTGGTGTGAAAGCAAGGTTTATTTCTTGACTGTTGATAGTAATGATGTAATTATATACTCTGGTGTGTGATATGTGATAACTATATGCTAAAGCTTGGAATCATGTCTTTATTTTAAGTTATTTATTTTATAGTAAATTCATGCCTGTTTTATTTATTTTGAGAAGAAGAATACCTCTTTGTTCCACTTTGGGATTTGTTTCTCCTGGAAATGTTTTCTGAAGTCTAATATACTATGTTGGAGTTTGGAAATAAATAACACTATGAAATGGAAATAAGGGATGTATTATATTCTGTAGAAAAGCCAAATTATGAATACATACCGTTTATATATCTGTAATGACAACTTGTCCTAACACTTATTCAGCCCACTAGATGGCATATGTGTCATAGCAAATCCGTATGAGTTGCTGGTTCTTTCCCAGAGAGAGAGCCAGAGTGAGTATTTTTGTATTTTATTTTTATTTTGTATTTAACCTTTGTTTAACTAGGCAAGTCAGTTAAGAACAAATTCTTATTTACAATGACTGCCAAACCCGGACGACGCAGGGCCAATTGTGCGCCACCCTATGGGACTATGGGAGTATGTGTGTGCATGTGCTAGTTTGCATACTTACTTTCATAATTAGACGGATTATTTCACCACAAAAATCTAATTTGCTCAACATGCACATCACATATACAGTGAGCTCCAAAAGTTTTGTGACAGTGACAATTTTAGTATTCTGTACTCCAGCACTTTCGATTTGAAATTATACTATGACTATGAGGTTAAAGTGCAGACAGTCTGCTTTGCATCATGAATGATGAGTGAGAAAGTTAGACGCACAAATATCATGCCCCCAAGACACCATCACAATAACGGGAGATTATCATTTTTGGGGAGGTATGATATTTAGGCCTCTAACTTTCTCACTCATCATTATTCACGATTCATTCAGGATTATCCATAATTATGGTAGCATCCACATTAATGTAGAAGTGTTTAGAACCATTATATTCTTATTTACAATAAAAGTGACTCCAAAATGACACAATACATTATTCACCATTCATTTCTATTGGGCACAAAATAATCTGAAACACAACCAAAACAAAAGCAAATGCATCCAACAAGTTTGTAGAGTCATAAGCTTTATGTATAATAATAATAAGCCATTTAGCAGACGCTTTTATCCAAAGCGACTTACAGTCATGTGTGCATACATTTTTACGTATGGGTGGTCCCGGGGATCGAACCCACTACCCTGGCGTTACAAGCGCCATGCTCTACCAATTGAGCTACAGAGGACCACATGTAATCATTGCGTGCTAGGAATAATGGACCAAATACTAATCTTTTGACTACTTCAATACACATTTAAGTGAATTTGTCCCAATACTTTTGGTCCCCTAAAATGGGAGAGCTATGTACTAAAAGAGATGCAATTTCTAAATGGTTAATGCGATACGGATGCAAATAACCCTCAAATTAAAGCTGACAGTCTGCACTTTAACATCCTAGTCATTTCAAATCCAAAGTGCTGGAGTACACTGCCAACAAAATAAAATGTGTCACTGTCACAATACTTTTGGAGCTCACTGTAGATAGGATAGTATCTTATGATGACTGATACACTGATTAGTCCTCATGATGTGTCAATTATCTTGTTGGATACCCTTTTCACACTATTGTGCCAGAAGAACCACACTGTACTGGCTTGGATATTTCCTTTCCAGCATGGTTCCAACAACTATGGGCGATGCGTAACCAGGCCTGTGCAGTATGGCTTGGTTTGGCTGGGCTCAGTACTATGAAAAGGGTGTTAGAGATGCGGTAGGCCCTGGGGCCCTCAACGCTGAGGGGGTAATTAGTTTAGCAGCTGAAGACTGCTAGGCCACGATAAAGTTAGGAACTTCTTACATCACTTCCTTCATTTGTTCTCGATTTGATTTTCAAGTTTGGAATGCAATGGGCCTAAGTACCGGGAGCAAAGGAATTCAAAACGAGTTTAGTAACTCTCTCATGCTTTAGCCAGCAGCCCTGACGTTCTGTTTGTGTGAGATTTAGGTTGTTTTGCACCACACCCCTCATACATCCTGTGCTGCTCCTGACCTTCCCTCTTGTCCATTATGAACTGTCTTTTTCGGTCCTTGGCTACATGTATCGTTCATACACTAGACAGCAGACCCTTCTAGAATGGCTGCCTGTTCTACTAATGTACGATCTCGGAGCATGAATGAGCCATCGTAACACAAGCTGTGCTATTTGAGCTTGTCTAGTTTAAATACTCAAGCAGATGCAGCCCTGGGGCAAGAATCCCCCTTCTGAAGACTGAACTGTGTGTGTGTGTGTGTGTGTGTGTGTGTGTGTGTGTGTGTGTGTGTGTGTGTGTGTGTGTGTGTGTGTGTGTGTGTGTGTGTGTGTGTGTGTTGATGGTCATTTGGGGATCAAAATGATGGACAGATTAGGCTCATTATGTTCCTAATTATGAGTCCCAAATTACACAATGGTGCTGTTACTGCTGCTTTGGATGAGCTGGGGAATTTGCAGCCACCCCCCTACAAGGTCGCTCTGTGTTCTCTGAAGAGGAAGCGGAGACTTGGTATGGGGAGCCAGGAATTCCTGTTTGGCTCCCAGCACTGGAAATCATGTCACAGCTCTGGATTGAGACCCCACCCCCCTTTATTTGAAAGGGGTGATTTACACCCTCCTCATACACATCTTTGTGTCTAAAAACATCTTCAACTGTGCTGATCTTTGCTCAAAATTAAAGGCATGCAAGACAATGTATTCAAACATTCTGTAGTTCTTGTTGATCATTAAAATGTGGGAACCATTTATGCTGGACTTTGGTAATTGATGGACTTTAGTTATAGCCTTAACGCTGAACACTTATTTAGACTCATATGGATTTATGCATTGGAGATGTGTCTGTGCAGTCAAGGAATATCTTTACATTCCTTGTGTGCTGTTAGTTAAAATGACCAAGAGCCTTCCATTTAGACCAAGACCACTCCCAGAGACTAGTTGTCTAAGATTACAGGCTGAATATACCTTGCAATAACAACGTATGGAACAATACCAAGGCTCAGCTGTGATTTCATTGCGCAGACTAGTTCGCATCTGTCTTTTATATAGGAACAATGTGAACAGGACAAAATTGTAAAGTAAAGGTTAAAAAATATACATATTTGTCAAGCTAGAGTGTACATGAACAGTGTCATGTTTTAGCCTTCATTTTGGTGTTAATTCCTTGCTGAACACTTAGTAAATCTGGCCCAGGCCTAGGTGTATTAACACATCAATGCTTCCAATGGGAGACTCCTTCACCATTTAACGGTCAATAGGTTCACAAATTCTCTTCTCAAAATTTTACAACTTGCAGGATTGAATTGAAATCTGGATTATTGGTGGAAAATAGCAATGCAGCATTTCCTGGTTGAGAGGAAGCGGGAAGTGACTGGAGGATGGTGATACTGCACTCTGGGCCCTCAGAACAATACAATGTCTCCCTCACACAGGAAACGGATCTGCGTCAAAGAGGGGGCCTGACAGAGTTTTATAAAGACCAACGGCACAGACCCTAAGGAAGCAGGATAAATCACTGTTTTCATCCACACACTCAGATTTATACCCCAGACTTGTAGTAAAAACGTCCTTTAGAACAAATTACTGTTAGCAGCTAAATATATGTTTACTAGGCCTTTATAGTGTACTAGTTTCAAGTTTTAATGTCACATGCACAAGTACAGTGAAATGCCTTTCTTGCAAACTCAAAACTACTTAATGTTCTATGCAACACAAGTAGACTACTTACTACACTATTATCCTAATGTGCTAGTGGACAAAAAGCAAAATAGTCCACATGTTAGTGATAACAATAACGGTTGTGCCTTATTAGGGTCATTAATTTGGTTTAGATAAATGCTACAGTAGTCTATGACAATACATGTATTTTAATGTAGAGGAATCCATTTCAGTTGACACAGGTAAATTGCCTTTATATGGCTTCATAATCTGCCTCATTCTGAACTTCTTTAGGCCTAATTAATGGCCATTTGCAATGGGATGAATTAGGCCCTCCTAACTACAGTAATTCTGGTCTAATTAATATATTTTTACAAACACAAACAATTGATTGTATAACTCAAGCTGCTTTACACATGGACGCTAGAAAGCACGTAGTTCTTTGAAGTTGTCATTCATGAAGCATTTTCAGCAGGATGGAGGGTGTTTTCGTTTTACAATTTATTTTATCAGTTGGAAACACACACAGGAATTCCGGCTTGGGAATGACCGTCCAGTTCCCGGCCGCAACAGGAAGGTATGCATAAAAAGCACTTCCAAAACGCGCAGGCTATACCATTCTTCTCCATTCCGCAGCGACGGAACACAAGGGAAATACACATTTGTAGCCTATACTGTGATGAAACCAATATTGGGAGATGGTCGCGATGGCAAAGTAGCCCTACAAGTCAGTCAAGTGAATAGAGGTGATGTGGCAGCTGCAACCAGGTAGTCTCAAGAGGCTTGGCATTGTGTTCTCCATTCTATGGTAAGTAAGGAAGACATTTCATGATTATAGAATATACTTTATTTTTCCCAGAGAAAACATAAGATACAGTATTATCATGATGCAGTTGTGATATGCAAAAGTAACATAGGGTTACACATATTCAAACTAGTACTCTGTCGTTTTTAATTCAGAAAATGCTATTTGTTATTTGTCCTTGATTACTTGAAACAATGAAATGTTTCTACATGAAGCCTACCCACTGTCCATGTTCGTCTAGTTTTTAGTTACATTTGGATGAGTTTTCAACTAACGTGAATTCAACGTGAAATCAACAAAAAAAATCACCAAGTCATTGGGATTAGGTAAAAAATTCAAGGAATTATTGCAATAGGGTGAAGTCATTAGTGGGACATCAGGTGTAGTGGGACATTTGTATTTGAGGGTAGGCCACTGTAAAATCACAACATTTTTTGCGTCAAGGTGGGGGTTGATGCACCCAGCATGAGAAGTCGGGTCCAAATTGTGTAATTTACATCACTGGCTTAAATTCTTCAATTCAAAACAGGCCAATGTATGATCATTGTAATGTCTAAGAATAGCTTATGACCTGAATTTGTTTATGCTTTTAAGCTTTAAATGTTCAATATCTTCTGCTGATCAATGGTCTAACAAGTTCCTTGGTTTATTAGACCAGTGGTTCCAACCAGGGGTACTAGGACCCCTGGGGGTTCTTGGCCTATCCACAGGGGGTACTTGAGAAGAGACCATAGGCCTACTGGTAAAATGCACATGAGGGGGTACTTCAG